TGCATAGATGGATGGATAGATGGATGGGTAGATGGATAGATAGATGCATAGATGGAAGGATAGATGCATAGATGGATGCATAGATGCATAGATAGATGCGAAAATGGATGCATAGATGGATAGAAAGATGCATAGATGGATAGATGGATGCATAGATAAATGCAAAAATGGATGCATAGATGGATAGAAAGGTGCATAGATGGATGGATAGATGGATGGGTAGATGGATAGATAGATGCAAAAATGGATGGATAGATGCATAGATGGATAGATGGATGCATAGATAGATGCATAGATGCATAGATAGATGCAAAAATGGATGCATAGATGCATAGATAGATGCAAAAATGGATGGATAGACGCATAGATGGATAGATGGATGCATAGATAGATGCATAGATGCATAGATAGATGCAAAAATGGATGCATAGATGCATAGATAGATGCAAAAATGGATGGATAGACGCATAGATGGATAGATGGATGCATAGATAGATGCATAGATGCATAGATAAATGCAAAAATGGATGCATAGATTGATAGAAAGATGCATAGATGGATGCATAGATGCATAGATAGATGCAAAAATGGATGCATAGATGGATAGATGGATGGGTAGATGGATAGATGGGTGCATAGATGGAAGGATAGATGCATAGATGGATAGATGGATGGATAGATGGATGCATAGATGGAAGGATAGATGCATAGATGGATAGATGGATGCATAGATAAATGCAAAAATGGATGCATAGATGGATAGAAAGGTGCATAGATGGATGGATAGATGGATGGGTAGATGGATAGATGGGTGCATAGATGGAAGGATAGATGCATAGATGGATAGATGGATGGATAGATGGATGCATAGATGCATAGATAGATGGATGCATAGATGCATAGATATTGCAAAAATGGATGGATAGATGCATAGATGGATAGATGGATGCATAGATAGATGCAAAAATGGATGCATAGATGGATAGAAAGGTGCATAGATGGATGGATAGATGCATAGATGGATAGATGAATGCATAGATGGATACATTGATACAGAGATGATAGAAAGATGCAGATGGATAGAAAGATGCTGGAAAGATGCATAGATGGATGTATAGATGGATGCATAGATGGATGGATAGATGGATGCATAGATGCATAGATAGATGCCAAAAATGGATGCATAGATTGTTGGAAAGATGCATAGATGGATGAATAGATGGATGGGTAGATAGATAGATGGATGGATAAATGCATAGATAGATAGATGGATAGATAGATGGATGGATGCGTAGATGCAAAGATAGATGCAAAAATGAATGCATAGATTGATAGAAAGATGCATAGATGGATGCATAGATGCATAGATAGATGCAAAAATGGATGCATAGATTGATAGAAAGATGCATAGATGGATGGATAGATGGATGGGTAGATGGATAGATGGGTGCATAGATGGAAGGATAGATGCATAGATGGATAGATGGATGGATAGATGGATGGATGCGTAGATGCAAAGATAGATGCAAAAATGAATGCATAGATTGATAGAAAGATGCATAGATGGATGCATAGATGCATAGATAGATGCAAAAATGGATGCATAGACGGATAGAACGATGCATAGATGGATGGATAGATGGATGGGTAGATGGATAGATGGGTGCATAGATGGAAGGATAGATGCATAGATGGATAGATGGATGGATAGATGGATGCATAGATGCATAGATAAATGCAAAAATGGATGGATAGATGCATAGATGGATGAATAGATGGATGGGTAGATAGATAGATAGATAGATGGATAAATGCATAGATAGATAAATGGATGGATAGATGGATGGATGCGTAGATGCAAAGATAGATGCAAAAATGGATGCATAGATGGATAGAAAGGTGCATAGATGGACGGATAGATGGATGGGTAGATGGATAGATAGATGGATAAATGCATAGATAGATAGATGGATGGATAGATGGATGGATGCGTAGATGCAAAGATAGATGCAAAAATGGATGCATAGATGGATAGAAAGGTGCATAGATGGATGGATAGATGGATGGGTAGATGGATAGATAGATGCATAGATGGAAGGATAGATGCATAGATGGATGCATAGATGCATAGATAGATGCGAAAATGGATGCATAGATGGATAGAAAGATGCATAGATGGATAGATGGATGCATAGATAAATGCAAAAATGGATGCATAGATGGATAGAAAGGTGCATAGATGGATGGATAGATGGATGGGTAGATGGATAGATGGGTGCATAGATGGAAGGATAGATGCATAGATGGATAGATGGATGGATAGATGGATGCATAGATGGAAGGATAGATGCATAGATGGATAGATGGATGGATAGATGGGTGCATAGATGGAAGGATAGATGCATAGATGGATAGATGGATGGATAGATGGATGCATAGATGGATAGAAAGGTGCATAGATAGATGCAAAAATCGATGGATAGATGCATAGATGGATAGATGGATGCATAGATAGATGCATAGATGCATAGATAGATGCAAAAATGGATGGATAGATGCATAGATGGATAGATGGATGCATAGATAGATGCATAGATGCATAGATAGATGCAAAAATGGATGCATAGATGCATAGATAGATGCAAAAATGGATGGATAGACGCATAGATGGATAGATGGATAAATAGATAGATGCATAGATGCATAGATAGATGCAAAAATGGATGCATAGATGCATAGATAGATGCAAAAATGGATGGATAGACGCATAGATGGATAGATGGATGCATAGATAGATGCATAGATGCATAGATAAATGCAAAAATGGATGGATAGATGCATAGATGGATGAATAGATGGATGGGTAGATAGATAGATGGATGGATAAATGCATAGATAGATAGATGGATGGATAGATTGATGGATGCGTAGATGCAAAGATAGATGCAAAAATGGATGCATAGATGGATAGAAAGGTGCATAGATGGATGGATAGATGGATGGGTAGATGGATAGATAGATGCATAGGTGGAAGGATAGATGCATAGATGGATGCATAGATAGATGCGAAAATGGATGCATAGATGGATAGAAAGATGCATAGATGGATGCATAGATGCATAGATAAATGCAAAAATGGATGCATAGATGGATAGAAAGGTGCATAGATGGATGGATAGATGGATGGGTAGATGGATAGATGGGTGCATAGATGGAAGGATAGATGCATAGATGGATAGATGGATGGATAGATGGGTGCATAGATGGAAGGATAGATGCATAGATGGATAGATGGGTGGATAGATGGATGCATAGATGGAAGGATAGATGCATAGATGGATAGATGGATGGATAGATGGGTGCATAGATGGAAGGATAGATGCATAGATGGATAGATGGATGGATAGATGGATGCATAGATGGAAGGATAGATGCATAGATGGATAGATGGATGGATAGATGGATGCATAGATGCATAGATGGATGCATAGATAGATGCAAAAATCGATGGATAGATGCATAGATGGATAGATGGATGCATAGATAGATGCATAGATGCATAGATAGATGCAAAAATGGATGGATAGATGCATAGATGGATAGATGGATGCATAGATAGATGCATAGATGCATAGATAGATGCAAAAATGGATGCATAGATGCATAGATAGATGCAAAAATGGATGGATAGACGCATAGATGGATAGATGGATGCATAGATAGATGCATAGATAAATGCAAAAATGGATGGATAGATGCATAGATGGATGAATAGATGGATGGGTAGATAGATAGATGGATGGATAGATTGATGGATGCGTAGATGCAAAGATAGATGCAAAAATGGATGCATAGATGGATAGAAAGGTGCATAGATGGATGGATAGATGGATGGGTAGATGGATAGATAGATGCATAGGTGGAAGGATAGATGCATAGATGGATGCATAGATAGATGCGAAAATGGATGCATAGATGGATAGAAAGATGCATAGATGGATAGATGGATGCATAGAAAGATGCAAAAATTGATGCATAGATGGATAGAAAGGTGCATAGATGGATAGATGAATGCATAGAAAGATGCAAAAATGGATGCATAGATGGATAGAAAGGTGCATAGATGGATAGATGGATGCATAGAAAGATGCAAAAATGGATGCATAGATGGATAGAAAGGTGCATAGATGGATAGATGGATGCATAGAAAGATGCAAAAATGGATGCATAGATGGATAGAAAGATGCATAGATGGATAGATGGATGCATAGAAAGATGCAAAAATGGATGCATAGATGGATAGAAAGGTGCATAGATGGATAGATGGATGCATAGAAAGATGCAAAAATGGATGCATAGATGGATAGAAAGGTGCATAGATGGATAGATGGATGCATAGAAAGATGCAAAAATGGATGCATAGATGCATAGAAAGGTGCATAGATGGATAGATGGATGCATAGAAAGATGCAAAAATGGATGCATAGATGGATAGAAAGGTGCATAGATGGATAGATGGATGCATAGAAAGATGCAAAAATGGATGCATAGATGGATAGAAAGATGCATAGATGGATAGATGGATGCATAGAAAGATGCAAAAATTGATGCATAGATGGATAGAAAGGTGCATAGATGGATGGATAGATGAATGCATAGATGGATGGATAGATAGATGGATGCATAGAAAGATGCAAAAATGGATGCATAGATGGATAGAAAGGTGCATAGATGCACAGATAGATGCAAAAATGGATGCATAGATTGTTAGAAAGATGCATAGATGGATGCATAGATGGATGGATAGATGGATGGGTAGATGGATGCATAGATGGATGGATAGATGGATGCATTGATGGATGGATAGATGGATGCATAGATGGGTGCATAGATGAATAGATAAATGGATAAAAATGGATGCATTGATTGATAGAAAGATGCATAGATGGATGGATGGATGGATAGATAGATAAGACAGACAGACAGATAAAGTAGCTCACTTGTTCTTATTTTCCTAGTGAAAACGGTGTTAAAGTCTGCTGTATCAATCTCCCAGGCCAGAAGAGGCTTGGTGTGACATGATGACACCTCTTCCACGTCACAGCCCCCATCCGATCCCACAGGACCCCCTCCAGGCTGCCCGCCGCTGAGGTCCGTGGAGGCTTTCGCCTTCCCATGCGGGGCTCCGTCCTCCTGCTTGTTCCTCGGTGGGCAGCAGTACACGGCGGCCGCCTGGTTCAGGAGGGCATAGTCTGAGCAGACCGTGTAAAACTTCTCCCGGGAGTGTGTGACTGGGCAGGTCCACTGCAGGTGAAGCTCAGCACTGGAAGCCCGCCTCAGCCTCGCAGCATCCCGGGCGATGGAGCTCATCAGCCCGTGGCCCCCCTCTCCTCTCGCGGCCCTCTGCAGCCCTGGCTGCTCAGCGGGGCCGGGGGGGTGAGCCCCCTGACCCTCTGATGTGTTAGGCATCTGGGTGATGGAGGACAGATCGGGCTGGAGGTGATGGTGTCTTCTCTGGAAAAAAAAAAATGGCCACAGAGATGAAGGAAAGATGGAGATGTTGTGACAGACACCTGCAGCTGAGTTCCCTAACATTAAAACCGTCCTAACACATACAGGGTGTGATTAAGATTCTAATTTACAAGAAACATTCACCATATATACCTTAAATACGAGTCACTTATTAGGAAACCAGAGAAAGAGCCCGGCGGTGTTACATATTAGGTAAACACCATGACAGCTGTGAGGCGCAGCTACATCCCTGCTACACTGGAGTTAGTAGGCAAAAACACCCAATAGAGTCCGGATTTTAGTTTTTTATCAAAGCCCTAAAGATCTATCTGGAGGTTAGCTAACCGTTAGCCGAGCAGCAGCCATATTACAGCGGAGAATTAACGTGGAAAATCCCGTTACTTCGCCCTCCTGACCCGTATCTTTTTCCAAAGCAGACACACTGGACTGTACCATTCAGGTCAAATTACGAGGGGAAACAAACAGATATATGTAGAGGAAACCTTAAATTATATATAAAAATATGTATATAAGTGTCTTGAATTAAAATTTGAATAAAGACTTAGTTTAAAAACATCAATTTCAAAGTGTTAAAAATAAAGTAAGCGGTATTTTGTACTAACTCGGTATCTCTACCCCCCTCTTCTACTGTAATGAAATGGTTCTGCATTTTTAAACCAATCACAAGAGTGAATTCCAGTGGGTGTTTAAACTTCTCAGGAAAAAGGTAAGTTAGCCTATGTTTACATTTGATATTGTTTGGAGTAATGTAAAAAAAAGGGAAAAATTATAAGGCTTTGTTGAGGCACTTTAAACAAACAGGAACATTTTAGGAATTAAAAAGTTACAGCACAGGTAGAGCTGTTCTGGGTAGACAGGATTATGCTGTTTACACAATAAAATACAGGAAACCTCGGGCTCCTGTCTGATGTTTTTCCCTTTTTTTATCTCTTAGATGACAATCACAACATACAATGTTTATTATTGGAGTTGTATGGGATAGTCCAACATTAAGCGCTGCATGTTTGTTCTGGAAGACTAAACTCCCTTTTTCCAGTTTATTTTAACAAAAAATAAATAAATAAAAGTGAGCTTTTAAAGTGTCTGATTTTTACATCCTAATCTTTGCAAATAGCTCAGTCAGCATTTGGTTGAACAAGGTTTTTCTTTAGGGGTGTCAAAGTAAGTAGGACTAAATATAAGCTTAAAAAACTGTTACGTAATGAAATATTTGGTATTTATGAGTAAAATGTGACAAAATGTGAAACATTTGAAGGGATGTGAATAATTTTATTTATTTTCTCATATGTGACACTGTATTATGTTTTCCTTAATTTATATGGATTTTTTTATGTTTAAATAAAGTAATATCTGATATCATAGTAAACATTTAAAACTGTGGTAAACTTTACCTTATGAAGGCTGTCATCTGGAGCTTTATGTGTCCTGATCGCATCTAGAACGCACACTGGAAAAACAATCTAAAATTAAGTAAAAATTTCTTAAAGTAAGTGTATTGAACCTTAATTTGAGTAGGAAAATGAGATGGTTTGCCAATGGAATGAGTAATTTTACTCTTAAAATAAGATAATTAGATAATATGCACTTGAAAAAAAGACAATGAAATTGTTTTTTTCTCATTTTAAGTGTAAATTGTCTTCCATTGGCAAGATGTGTCTTTTACCTCCTCAATCCAAGAACGAATACCCTTATTTTAAGAAAAAATGACTTATCGAGATTTAGATTTTATTCAGTGCATTCCTTTTGCTCTAATTACGCCAACCAGCTTAAGTTTTGTAGGACAAGACACAGAATCATGGAGGACTGATATTTCTCTGCAGCAGCCAATGGACAGCTTTTTACTCCTGCAATCACATTGAAAGTCTGCTAATGAAAAGTGGAATAAAAATAATATCTATTATCATGATTATTATTATTCACTCTTCCAAAAGCCATAGCAGCCCATTAAAGTAAAGAAACGTGTAAAGCTTTTCTGGTCAGACTAACTGGCTTCAACAAAACGAGAAGCAGAGATGAAAATACAGTTTTTAGTTTTAGGTGATCAATGTTTTACAGGTTTGTTCTCTGCCTGACTTCCCTAACAGGCAGTTAACTGGAAGGACTTTAGTTGTTCAGCTCTCAGTATGTGTTTCACAGCAGGAAGCTCTTTGGTTGCTTCCCCTCTCCTTTGTGTAAATGATAATCTGGCTCTTTGCTGGTGAGATATTAACCGTTTTTAACAAATTAATACAACCTTACTGGAGGGCTATGTTTGTCTCTAGAACAGGTTTGTCAAAAAACTATGAGCCTATAAAAATGCCTTTATGAAGCCGTAGCTCATAAGATTTCTTTGCATTAAAAAAAGAAAACAGATTTTCTATGTCTTCCCATATTTTGAATCGATGACTTTGAAAATAACACAGATAGTCTTGTTGTGTGCAGGACATTAAGGCGGCGAAACCATGACCAAGAAGCTGGTGATCATCGACACAGACTGTGGCATAGATGACGCTCAGGCCATAATGATGGCCTTGGCGGCGTCCAACCTGGAGGTCCTGGCCGTGACCTGTGTGTTCGGGAACGCGGCGGTAGAAAACGTGTGTCAGAACGTTTTGCGGGTTCTCTCCGTCTGTGAGCGCCAGGAGGTGCGTCTCTTCGACCGAACCGATGCGTTGAACTCTTAATATGGGGCAGAGGGATCATATATAGAGTTCTCTGGATCGTTGTATCGTGATTTGTTCAGAAATATAACAAAATTGAACATGTTATAAAGTGACAGTTATTAATAAAAGTTTTCCTCTCTATAAAAATACTGTAATGACTCCTGTTTCCTGCAGATTCCGGTGTTTCAAGGCTCTGCTGGTCCCCTTGTAGGATTCAGTAATCTATTCAGCGACCACTTTGGAGGTGATGGACTTGGGGATGTGATAAAGGACCAAGACCCTCAGTGGAAGGAGAAAATCCAACCGGAGCACGCAGTCAATGCTTTGATTAGGCTGGTGTCTGAACATGAAAAGCAGGTAAACAGGTTCCAGGTTTTTTATTTTTCATGTGGGGGGGTGGATGCTCTGGTGCTCCATAACCATTTCTTCCTACAGGTCTCCTTGGTGGCCCTCGGCCCGCTCACCAATCTGGCGCTGGCTGTCAAGCTGGATCCATGCTTCTCCCAAAAGCTCAGAGACCTCTTCATCATGGGCGGCAACATGGAAGGTAGTCAAATGGGATTTGAAGAGTTCCTACGCGAGGCCCAGCAGCCTTGAACGGTTTGTTTTTGTTGTTACAGGAAAGGGGAACGTGACCCTTTGTGCAGAGTTTAACTTTGCGTCGGATCCAGAATCTGCTTACGTTGTTCTAGAAGAATTCCTCTGCCCCACCTACCTCGCCACATGGGAGTACTCATGCAGGAACGCCCTGACTTGGGTATGCCGCTTTTGCAGTGCGTTGCACTTCTCCATTTATTCCCAATGAAAAGCATTGAGGTTTTGCACTTATTTGCACACTTCTACAGGAGTTCTTTGAGGAGCTGATCAATCAGGATGCCCCTGCAGCCCGCTTCATGAAGATGATAACATCAAAGTGTCGGGCCTACTCCAAAGAGACCATGAAGATTAAGAGAGACGTGTACTTTGGGCCTGGCTTTGTCTCTTATGACGCCTACGCCATGGCGGCCTGTATTGACAGCAGCATAGTGCTGGAGAGCATCGAGTGCCCCGTGCGCGCGGAGGTGCAGGGCTCCATGACTCGTGGCATGTTGGTGCTAGATCGAACAAACTCCCTAAACAAGAGCCACACTGTGAGGGTCATGGTTAAATGTGATGTGGCCAAGTTTGGTGGGCTTCTGATGGAATCCCTCAGACAGCCGTAGAAGAAGTGACAAAAAAGACCAGGCAGCCTCTTTTAGCTGAAAGGTTTATTTTTCTCAAGATGAGGTCATAAAATGCATAAAATGAGAAATGTGATTTTTTTTATTTATTTTTTTATTTAACCATTCCGTTGTAGATTTGCTCCTGTGTTTGACCTTTTGACCCACTTTTGACCAAGCTGGCTTCATCTTTAACTTAATTGAAGTGTGGTCTGCAAATGCATTCATGGTTGGATGCAGGAATTCAGGTCCTATGGTGGCAAACTAAAAACCCCAAAACAAACCACTATCTTTCAGTGTGGAAGAAAACTGATATATGCTTGGATGTTAAACATGTTAGCTGAAGCCAGTGGTGTGGAGCTTTTTTCTGCTACATGAGCCAAATTTACAGGGTTTTAATTATAATAATAACAACAATTTAACTGTATTGATCTCACACTGGAGAAATTCAGTTCTGCATTCAACCCATCCCCTTGGGGAGCAGTGGGGTTTTAAGACGTCCAATCTGTGGACGTCTGTGGGAGTTGAACCCAAAGCAGAATGCTCTAACCACTAGGCCACCACTCCCCGACATCATAAACATTAACAATCTATGAATAAAACACAAAAACTACAATTTAATCTGCATAATGAAAGATATGCAGAAATAAATTGTACATCAAAAAAGGTACATCAGACATGATGACTTAATTTTTTTTCTTTACTTTGTTTTGCCTACAAAGTTGATCAGTCTAGGGAATAGCTTGCTGTATTGTAGTTTAGAAAATACTTGCACCAAAATCTACTCTTTAGTACAAAATGTTGAACGTTATTGGTCACAGTTTAAAGGAGAGTAAAGAAAAAATTGCTTCATTAAAGATGCCACACTTACTCCTGGGTAAAACTGGCATGTGGTTTTTGATAATTTCCCACGTATACGAAATAATCCGAGAAAATTACAATTAATGTTCCATAGCTGATCTTTGTGCTTCTGTATGGCTGTATTCACATCATATTAGGAATGTGAGGATTGTGTTTGATACTCAGAGTTTCAAAGAAAATAAAAAAAAGATTCTGATTGAATTTCCTTTCACAGCCTTCATTTTGAGGGTTTATGTGCTAAAATGTACAACACAGCATTTTAGAGATAAATAAGTTATCTAAATCAAACATGAGGATTAAAATGACTTAATATAAAATAAACCTGCTCCTTTAAATTCTAAAATGTGTCCAGCTTCTCTGTTTCTTCTACAATATAAGGTTTCTTAAAAAAAAAAAAAATGTCCAGCAGAGGGCAGCACACACCTAGTAGTGCATCATGTAGAGATGTTCCTCATTGAGGATTGGAAGCAAGACATTTTCTGAAGAGAAGTAACCCCTGTCTGAATGACATAAAGGGATAATTCCTTCTTTTCTGAGAGATATGTGACAAACTATCAACTCTTGTGGATGTTTTTTATTTTGCAAATATGCATGCATCCCTATGGAAGCCCATTTCCGCCACATTAAAGTAAAAAAATCCTAAATACAAAGTCATAATTATGAGATTCAAAGTCATAATTTCGACTTTTAAACAGAGGTGTCACTTAAAGCTACAGTGTGTAACAGACATGTTCACAAGTCATTTTTTGCAAGTCCAAGTCAAGTCTCAAGTCTTGAGAAGGCCTGTCGCAATAATCAATTAATCGCACAAAAAATTCTAATCACTTGATTAATTAAAAAAAGTGCAATAATTTTCGTGCTTGCTTGTTTCTCCTTGTGTTTTCATCTCCGTCACTGAGACGGTATAGCTTAAAGGTTGCTATTATATCTATGGAATTATCATTATCTTGAACTGCTAAATGAAAAATACAATTGAAAAAAGCACACACGCAAAAAAAATTTCCAGATAAATTTTGCATTTTTAGTTTTTTTTTCTTTCAAAAAAAAAAACAATTTTCTTACAGTATTTACCTGACATTTGTGGTTACAACTTTTTCTAGTTTTAGCAGTAAATGTCTGCTCTTTTATTTTTAAAGCTACAGTGTGTAATAATTACAGGGATATACAGTCAGAAATGTTATATATTTTACATAACTATGTTATTTATCATCATCTACGAGCTCAGCCTCTTAACCTTAATATTTGCGTTGCCTTAGAATTCGTTATTTATAATTACATAGGAGCGGGTCTCGCAGCCATGGAGGCAGACATCTTTGCGCTACGGCAGCGCAGAGCCAACAAACTAGCGATTGCGAGATCGCCAAAACGTCACAACGATGTAGAAAAAATAACGGGTATATTTATTATCTTAAGTCTACATGAAATCTATACCCTACACAGACTAATGAAATACTATCTGTAAAATTATCTATGTAAACAAACCTCATCACTTGAGAAGGTAGGTGATGCGGACGTCGTGGAAGACATTTTGTCCCGTAACGCTCGCCGTACTGTTGGGGGGGAGAAGCGGTGGGGGGGAGATGTTCATGTTGCTGCAGTCTGCAGTCTGACCGCTAGATGTCGCTAAAAGTTACACACTGTAGCTTTAACGAAGTACAAATACTTTGTTTCTGTACAAAGTATTTGTATACAAAGTATTTATTCAGTACACTTTTTAGGTATCTACACCATTACTTATTTTTCTTCCTACTTCTGACTTCTACTCATTACATCAAGTATCTGTACTTTCTATTCCTTACATTTTTAAAACATTTGTTTGTTTAATGTTTATAAATATTTATTTCACATCATGTGAGCCATCCAATGCAGATCATTGTGCAGATCATTGACACCATCCACATCTAGTGAAAACTAGATGTGAAGATGGAGACGGAGACCAACAAGACCTCCCTCATCCTTGGCCCTATCTCAAAGAATTTTTCCAAATAGTCAAAAAATTTAGCTTTCAGTTCATATAGTGGCATCTGGCTTTTTAAAGGTTACTTTATACTTTGATACTTTCAGTAGTTTTTGGAGCACATACTTTTTCCCTTTTTCTTGAGTAAAGAGGTCATGTTGATACCTCTTTACTGACCCTAACCCTATACTTTTACCAGTGTTTTTAAACTGCAATATCTATACTTCTACTTAAAGGAATAGTACACCCAAAACATGATTAGCCTTCATTTTCTACTCACCCCCATGCTGAACAACACTCTGGAGTACTTTTTTGATATCTCAAATGCATCTGGAGATCTGGGAGGCTTCTTGCTGTCTGCTCACATTCAAATAATGGAGGTCTATGGTGCCCGAGACAGAAAGGTCCATAAAAGTCCACAAAAAACGTGTCAATATTCCTCCATACTGCTTGTCCAATGTATTCCAAGTGTCCTGAGTGGGTAGCATCCATAATTTACTTGAAACGAAGTCATTTAGAATGTTTTTAGAGCATAAACAGTAGTGTATAGGATTTCCTAAAAGCGCGTTCACGAGTCTACGGAAACCGCGGCAGACCAAACCAGACGAAAGTGCGCATTCTGCTTGGCAAAGAACTCATGCTCTTCCTCAACACTGAAGTCCTCAGACATTTTTCCTTCGTTGTTTCTTTCTTTGCACAGGTAAACAGCACATTTCTTCTTCTACGCTTGCATTATCAAGAGCAGACGCTGAATGCGCACTTTCATCTGGTGTACTATTTCTTTAAGTAACAAACGTGTGTACTTTTGACACCACTGCTTTTAAAGTCATAATTATGAGTTACAAAGTCATAATTTCATCTTTTAAAGTCATAATTATGACTTTGAAAGTAGAAATTATGACTTTCTATTTGGCATTTCATGTCAATCTGGCATTTCTATTTGGCATTTCTTCTTCATGTGGCAAAACAGGCTTCCATACATCTACCATCTTGAGTAATCAGCCAATCAGTGGCCCCTCCATAAATGTTTAGTGGGGGGGGGGGTCAATGGGGCCAACAAAATCTTGTGGTGGCACCACTGATCTCTATCTATTCACTGGATTGCTGATTGCCAGAAAAAAGTCCTCCATGCTGGTACTCCCCACTCCCACGGAGACACGCAGTAAAAAGGCCTCCCTGTGCAGCATTTGGCTGCAAAAAAAAAAAGCAGTTTGCCGGCTGTCGAAAGATGATCCACAGGTCATTTCAGTCAGTGGATGTACTGATCAAGAAAATCCACATCTAGCCTACGCCAATGTATCCTATAGTTTAGTATGTAGTGTAATATAAGACTTTGACTAAATTAGCCATTGACATTGTGTCTAACGTAAGTAAATGGAAAGTAGGGCAAATAGAAAGTAATTCACTGAAATGCCAATGTAGTAATTCATTATATATGAATATATATATATATATATTCATTATATATGAATATATATATATATATATGAATATATATATATATATATTCATTATATATGAATATATATATATATATATATATATATATAGAGAGAGAGAGAGAGAGAGAGAGAGACAGAGAGAGATCAGTGGGTGGCACACTGAAACTAAAAGCATAATTTCAGGGTTTGAATCTACTATTGTGGTAAACCTGCCTGTAGAAATCATAAAGACTTAAGCAAACACCTGCTCATATCTTGGTTTATTGTGTGATTTTTTATGTTATGTAACTGGCTGTGCATAATGGGATGAAATGCTGAACTGATGCTACTATAATTTACACTGGCCAGTTGGGTGGCCACCCCCTGGTGGCACCACTGTGGGAAAATATGGGAAATATGCAGTTTGTGAGCACATTTGTAAGCACTACTTAAAGTTCTTTTTGCAAAACTGTGTCTTTGAAATACATTTAAATTTTTGAAAGCAACACAAAGTTAACTGCTTATCTTAATTGATCCTCTTTTTAATTCTGGGGGGGTCCGTCATCGCCCCCTAATGGCTCTAGCTGGAAAATCCCACTGGGAGCCTCCTGGCTGTTCTGGTTCCTCCAAGACCAACAGCTTTACAGCAGCCCAATGTGAGGTTGCACTGGCTCTAGTAGCCATATGTCTACCTACATATGATTATAGAATAGTTTTAATTATGTTTATAACAGTATAGAGAATAAAGACAAATAAATCAGGAGGAAATAAAGAGAAAACAGGAAAAGGATTGGGACAGGTTGAATTTGGTTACGGTGGTGCAGACCTGTTATTAGACTTCTAACCAGTGTTGGTGTTACTATCGTGATTGGAGCAAACAGCAAAGTTACACTAAAACCTTTCTGGATTGTATAATTTTAAATTTCCGTTTTCAAAACATGTTTTCTGCTTAATTCCCTCCACAGCTGCTGTATGTGAACTGCAAAACAAGCACCAAGACTTTATTATTTTTGTGGACAACTCTATTCTTTATAAAATTATCCTAGATTCCTAAAAAATATATTTAAAATACACAGAACATTTTTAATTTAATAAATCTCTATTTGAATCTTTGAAGTAAAATTTAAATTGCTTAATGCTTCATCATAAAAAAAAAAAAAAATAATCAAAAGAACCCGGGTGATCATAAAATTCCACATCAGCCTAAAGAGACCGAGTATGAGGCTGATGTTTGGGATTCTTCATACTTTTATCTGAAAAGATGGTTTATACAAATTACTGCGCTGTGATCCCCGAGGTACATGCAGGACTTTAAAATATGAAATACATTAATGTTAATTCACTCATCAAATAAATGTAGCATTTATTTATTAAATACATGAATTAAACATTAAATATTGCATTAAATCGTAAAATGTGCAATAATGAAATGAAAATTCCATTTAAAGATTAAATTAATAACCGTCAGTTGAAAAAATATATTTACTTATAGATGAACAATTTCTCTTCAAATGTATGAATTAATCTGAGGTGGCATAATCAGGGTTTATGCAGCAATGAGTAACTAATTTTACCTCTTTTTAATGCCCTTATAAATTATTTTAAAGCCATCAACAAGTACCTGTGACTCTCACATATATACATGTATGAGACATGATCCTTCGTCGTCTTTACTGTCGACAGGCTGCAGCCATGTCCCGAATTCTTCGTTTTCCAGCCACTTTTGTTGAAATTAGCATTTTCCCCCCCCCATTCTCCAGCTTTTTCTCCGCCTCAAGCTTGTTTTCCAAAACATACAGCTTTACAATCAACCAGAAGCAGTTCCACACAAATATATCTCAATATATCTGAAAAAAATGTTTTTGTAAACGTATTTAAAATATATATATATTTAAGGTATTTTAAATTCTGTGATAACATTTAATTAATTTTAATGACAATTAAGGCCTTAATTTAAAAAAACCGTAATGACTTAATGATTTCTAATGACCCGCGGAAACCCTGATAATTACAGGCATCTTTAGGGAGTCTCCAGTCTGCTGCAGGTGTATTTTATGGAGTGAGATGCTGAAATATTTCGGTTTGCAAACTGCACGCCCAACAATAAAGAACATTTCTTTTAAATGAATAAATACCAAAACCAGACTTTCTGCTGAAAACCTTTAATTAAACTTGCTGACAAACAAGGCGACATGAGAACAGTTCAAACCCCGAGCTGAGGAATCTGTTTTCCTTTATCTCTGGACCAAATAATTCCACTTTAAAAATGGACAACATGAATATACCCAAAACTTTTATGGGATGATGACTATTAAAAATAATAATCCAATTTTAGATTTCTAAAGATCCCTTCTGCCAAATAAAAGCAAAGTGCAATGATGCCAGTAAGAATGGAAGTAATTTGGCTCCTCAAATGGACTTTTAATAAGAAACCAATAAGAACCGAGAACTTTAAAGGAGGAATGCAGCATTATTAGACTTTCTATGTCATCCGCTTTTATTTCAGGATCTCCTGTTAAAAACAAACCCAAATAAAAATAAGCATCACTGCCTTGTGGGAATAAAAAGCTGCAGAGAAATAAAGGTTTCTGGGCTAATCAAATGCGTCATAATGCTGCTTCTGAGAGGGGCTGATCTCTGATCGTTTAAAGACTCGTCTGGCAAACAGAACTCCTGTAAGGTGCGTCTTAGTTGGCGTTATCAGGGGAGCTGGGCCAGGGCTCTGAGCTGCGCCTGCTCAGGGTGGGACGCCACGCGCTCCAGGGGTTGAAGGTCCTGCTCATCTCGGTGGAAGCCGTCGGCGACGACGGGGTGGGGCTGCTGACCAGATTAGTCAGAGCGGCTGAACTGGTTGACGGAGAGAAAGGGTGTAGCGTTGAATCTGCGCTTGTTGACCAGATGGAGCTGCTGAAGGGCGTGGTGGCAGACCACGGATTGCAAGCGTTTCCCAGGAATGACTGCGCACAGAAAAAAAAGAAAAAGGGCGTCACGGATAGAGCTTCCAGAGAAACATTGGTAGGAGAATGTTGGAGCTTACTGCGGTCGGAGCGGTCGGTGGGCTGGAACTGCTGGGCCAGGAGTGCAGAGGGTCGCTGCTGGGGATGTCCCAGGGGGTGGAGGAGACCGGGGTGAACTCTGGCCAGCTGGGCTGAGGCTCGGATGGCTTTGAAAGATTCATTACACTGAAAACTAACGCAAACACACACAGTTCAGCACTTAGCTGCTAAACACGTTGCTCTGCATTCTTCTGTGGGTGATCAGGCACCTCTAGTCAGGTTGAAGGAGCTGTTGGGGCCGAAAGCGGAAAAAGAATTGTCAGACTGGTAGTTCGGGCTGCCGGCGGTGTCGACTGGACTCCATAATCCAGAGCTTCAAGAGAAAATAGGAGAAAGTTAGGATCGGTCTATAAACGTTCCAGACTCAGTTTGTTTTCAAACCTTATTTTTAATGACCTGTCTGAGCTGTCGCTCTCCACTGACGTCATGTTTGCCAGAGTCTTCCCAGGGGGGTCTCCTTTACTTGAGCCACCTGAACAGAACATCCAACCTTACTGCTAAAGCGACGCCATCACTGCTAGCTTCGAGGAAGCACATTGTTACCAACTGACCTGGGCTTTTGTCATAACCTGCAGCTACAGCAGCAAAGGTGGGGTTCCCGTTTTTTCCTGGGACTGGAGTGCCTGTAGAAAGCTTATTTCCTGGAGCCTTTTTCAGGTTTAACTCACTGGGAACGATAAAAGAACAGTTCATCACATTTAAAAATGAGTTTTCAGACCGTTTCAAATCAATACAGATCATTTATAAGGCCGTTTGTCTACAGAAGCACAGAACATCGTCTGACTGCTGTCATTTCAGTAAAATAGCTGCAACACTCATTTTATTTTTCAAATAGAATTTTGGTTTTAATAAGTCTCCCAGTGAACTTTAGCATCTAACCGACCAAAGAAATGCACCATTAAAGGGACTGCTTTGAATGCTTGACATTAGAAATTCCTACGCTCTCAAACGCAGCATCCAGACACTCTTTAGAGCCTGTAGCCGACAGCTGCGGAGCCACAAGTGGCTCTTTAGACACTCAACCATGGTTCTTCATCACTTTGGCCAAAAATGATGAAGAACCAGCTAATTTTTTTGAACCGACATAATAAAACACGCATCTTTCAGCATTTTCTCCACCGTCTGATTGCATTAAATTGTAAAAAACAGAATACATGTATTTGTTTGAAGTTTTTTAAGTGGGAAAATTTTGATTTAACATGATGTGAAAATATCAGCAACCAGCTTTAGATATTTGTTAAGTATAAGTTATCTCTCCATTTTCTTTAAAAAAAAAAAAAAAAAAGAAGAAAAAAAAGGTCATGCAATGTTTGCTGCTCTATGTTTTTTAAACTTTTTCAAATTTTTTTTTTATTCACAAAATAAAATTAGTCTAATTATATTAGATAGATATTTTCTGTCATGTCATATTTAAGGGGGGGGCAAACAAATTTCCAAAAATAAACAGCAACTGATATTTCAGTAACCAAAAATTTGAAATGGCACGATGGTTGTTTAAAAATGACAAACTTTAACCTTTTTTTTTTTTTTTTTGTGTTTAGGAAAAAATATACACTATATTGCCAAAAGTATTTGCTCACCCATCCAAATTATTGGAATCAGGTGTTCCAATCACTTCCATGGCCACAGGTGTATAAATTCAAGCACCTAGGCATGCAGACTGTTTTTACAAACATTTGTGAAAGAATGGGTCGCTCTCAGGAGCTCAGTGAATTCCAGCGTGGAACTGTGATAGGATGCCACCTGTGCAACAAATCCAGTCGTGAAATTTCCTCGCTCCTAAATATTCCACAGTCAACTGTCAGCTGTATTATAAGAAAATGGAAGTGTTTGGGAACGACAGCAACTCAGCCACGAAGAGGTAGGCCACGTAAACTGACGGAGCGGGGTCAGCGGATGCTGACGCGCATAGTGCGAAGAGGTCGCCAACTTTCTGCAGAGTCAATCACTACAGACCTCCAAACTTCATGTGGCCTTCAGATTAGCTCAAGAACAGTGCGCAGAGAGCTTCATGGAATGGGTTTCCATGGTCGAGCAGCTGCATCCAAGCCATACATCACCAAGTGCAATGCAAAGCGTCGGATGCGGTGGTGTAAAGCACGCCGCCACTGGACTCTAGAGCAGTGGAGACGCGTTCTCTGGAGTGACGAATCGCGCTTCTCCATCTGGCAATCTGATGGACGGGTCTGGGTTTGGCGGTTGCCAGGAGAACGGTACTTGTCTGACTGCATTGTGCCAAGTGTAAAGTTTGGTGGAGGGGGGATTATGGTGTGAGGTTGTTTTTCAGGAGCTGGGCTTGGCCCCTTAGTTCCAGTGAAAGGAACTCTGAATGCTTCAGCATACCAAGACATTTTGGACAATTCCATGCTCCCAACTTTGTGGGAACAGTTTGGAGCTGGCCCCTTCCTCTTCCAACATGACTGTGCACCAGTGCACAAAGCAAGGTCCATAAAGACATGGATGACAGAGTCTGGTGTGGATGAACTTGACTGGCCTGCACAGAGTCCTGACCTCAACCCGATAGAACACCTTTGGGATGAATTAGAGCGGAGACTGAGAGCCAGGCCTTCTCGTCCAACATCAGTGTGCGACCTCACAAATGCGCTTCTGGAAGAATGGTCAAAAATTCCCATAAACACACTCCTAAACCTTGTGGACAGCCTTCCCAGAAGAGTTGAAGCTGTTCTAGCTGCAAAGGGTGGACCGACGTCATATTGAACCCTATGGATTAGGAACGGGATGTCACTTAAGCTCATATGTGAGTCAAGGCAGGTGAGCAAATACTTTTGGCAATATAGTGTATTTTGTGGCTCTAGAGTTTTATTAGTCGGACTGAAATAAAAAATGTCTCTTTGCATAGGTTTGCATAACATGCCTGTTGCATAGGTCGCATACACAAACTTCAGGTTGCAATACCGCATTTCGAATCCCTGCACCACCCTAACCAGATTTAAAATGGTTTAGTACCTCAAGTTAAGGCGAGATAAAGTGAGGTTTTCATACAGGTTTTGTTGTGAACCACAGCAGCACAGGAGCAGCAAGAAGCTGAAGGCCATTGCTGAGAAACTAAACCCAAACATGATGCAACTATGGTCTAAAGCCCCTGTCACACTATGACGATATCTCCAGCGTGTACCTGACGACCCAGAATCTTCTAAAACGCTGGTATACGCTGAACTTTCTATGTATTTTTTTTTACTTCAGGGCGCATACATAGAGTATTCCGAACAAGTCTAGAGCAGATGTTCAACAACAGCCTAACTTATGCATAATGCACGACAGCGTAATGTCCATGCTGCACAAGTCAGTGTCCTGAGGGGAGCAGCAATGTGCCTGAAGGCGCTCGACCTGCACAAAAAGATGTCTGTGATCGTGGTATTAACCTAGCTGCTGGTAACCGCCCACCCAAAAAAAACAAAACAAAAAAACAAAACAAAGAAGGTTTGCAGTCACAGCAGGTTAAGTGTCATGTCTGCTAGCAAGTTTGTTGGTTGTGCGTGTGGGTTTGAACGCAGGGAGTATCCATCACACTCACATTAATGCCCATCCTACGATAGGGATGAAGTCTGGAGGAGAACTGATGGTTTCCTCTTGTCAACCCTCTTTCCTACCAAAAAGCTGCCAATACGCGATTATACAATAGCTGTAAGTTAGAAACACGTTCAGCGGACGTCTGGAACATGTCCAATACGTTGATATGCTTTAGAGATAAGTTCTTGATAAGTTACACATAACTTATGCACAAGTTACTCATAGGTTTTGGATAAGCTGGACGCCACGACTTATGAGTAACTTACACTTAACATATGTCAACGATCAGATAACTTACCTGTAACTTATGGCCCACGTATGGCATTCGCTGCCATATGTCGGGAAATGTTGAGCATGCTCAAAATTCCTCGACGTACTTGCCATATGTCGACGTGTTTCAGCGGGCTCATAACTTATAAAAAACGCACCCATAACTTTTCCAACGTACACCAGCGTGCCAGATCTTTTATAGACCAGGCACACGCTGGTCTAAATCGGCAAGGTGTGACAGGGGCTTAAAGTAGCAAAATGACCTGTGTGGAAAGGAACCCTGTTAGCAAGGGTGATAGCCTGCTGCTGCATGCATTAAAGCCCGGATTCATTTACTTCATTAAAAAAAAAAAAAAAAATCTGACGTCTGGAATACTTCTAATGTAAGAAACACATAGTAGGGGTTTGAATTTGATTTGTTTATGCCAGAGGTAAAAAAATTAATAAATAATAAAACCAAGACTAAAGGGATGTGAAAAAAGTGCCAGCAATTAATTTGTTTTAATATTTTGAGGTTTCTATCTGTTATGGAGCTTTTTGAATCTGAGAGTTCTGTTGATTTTGCAGATGGGAAGAAAAAGGGCCAACAAAGACAAAAAAAGAGCCAACAGTCAATAAGCTCAGCTCTATCTCCCATAATCTCAGTCATTAAGGAGAACAGAAAACCAGTGAAAGCTCCCCAGATTAAGGGGGGAATAACTGGAAACCACAGTGGACAGAGAGGGTGAAATGGATTCCTCAGAAGTGAATTTAATTTTAAGAATCTTCAGGGTGCTGCAACACAGAAATGAAAGTCTGCTAATACAGGAAGTGGTTAGTGAGACTTATGTGTGGCTTTATATTTATATGTAGGAAACACTTAACTTGATCAAACTGAGGGGGATTTCTGACACGTTTCCTGAGCAGTACTCTTCTAGTATAGTGATGTTTAGTCGTTTTAAAAAGTACCTTGGTAAAGTCCCTTGATATTTATTTTGTCTAGATACAACAAAAGACTTAATGTAAACAAAGGAGATATAGCAACCGAAGGCTGATAACCACTAATGGTTATTGCATTAATGACCTATACACACGGACAAACTGTTGTTTTTTTATGGGGGAAAAAAAACCCATAATGGTCACAGAAATAATTAAAAAATATGACAAAACTAATAATAAATCAAAATCATATGAAAATAAACAAAGGAAAGTCAGACATTGCTTTTCCACCATTCTTCAACAAACTCATCAAACAGGCCTGGGGAGAAATGATGGTTTCAACTCCTTACAAAGATTCATAATAGTCTGATTTTTTTTTCCTTTTAGCCAGTTTTTACTTTTGTGTTTTGGGTCATTATCCTGTTGGAGACCAAAGACCTGCGACTGACAGCAAGCTTTCTGATACTGAGCAGCATATTTCTCTCTAGAATCCATTGATGGTGTTGATTTCATTGGACCCTGCAGAGATTCAGGCACCAGATGAAACAAAGCAGACCAGGATGATAACAGAGCCTCCTCCATGTTCCCCAGCAGGGACAGGGCTCTTTTCTTGATATTGTTCTTTAAGCTTGAAGTTCAGCTTTAATCTCTCTAGACGTTTTTCTAGGCTAATTTGTTACCTTTCATATTATCAGTTTCTTTGACTCATCATCCATTTTTCTTCTGCAGCCAAATCCAGGTAGGTTGGCTACAGTCCCATGGATCATATATTTCTGAATAATATCTGCAACTTTAGTCACAGGAACATCAAGCTGCATCATACTCCTATAACCTCTCTCTTTAATATGCTTCTCTATAATTTTCTTTCTCCTGAAACAACTCTTTCCTTTGTTTCCTCTGGTCCATGTTGAGTGTGGTACACACCATGTCACCAAACAGCACAGGGACTCCCTGTAGCCATATATATAGGCCCATTGACTGATTATTGATTGTAGCCACCTATGTGGCCAGTTATTTTCAAGTCTTTTCTAGGCCTACCATCATTTCTCTCCAGGCCTGTTTCAGGCATTTTTACCAAGTTACCATTTTTGATCACTTGCATACCCCTTACAAATGGAGTGCCATTTCTTTTACTCTCAGAGTGTTTTTCATGAATTTCTTATAGAAGCACTTTTGTTATTTTTCTTAATATATATGGGCAAGTTGGCATTTCTTGTTAGTACATTGACATTCATTTATGCCATCAAAATATGAATCTTTTTTAACGTTACAAAGGTAATAAGGTCTTGTCCTTGATTCCAATCACATACTAAAAAAATGATCTATAAATTTGTAAAAATATTTTTAAGTAAGAGTATTTACCCTTAATTTGAGAAGGTAAATAAGGAAATCTCCCAGTTGAAGGAGCATTTTTATCCTTAAAATCAGATTATTTGATATTATGCACTTGAAATATAAGACTGCATTACCCCCTTATTTTAAATGTAAATTTTCTTATTCCATTTGCAAAGTATCTCACTTCCCTGCTCAGTTCAAGAAAAAATGCACTTATTTTAAGAAAAACGGACTGCTTTGATTCAGTTTTTTGCAGTTTACTCTTTGCTTGAAATTTAGATGTTTACAGTCTTTCACTGAATGCCCTGTAATGGGTTAAATAATTCTGTTACAGCATGAGTGAAATGCAACGTCTCACTTTCATTTGTTCAATTTAATATAATACTCTTCATTACTTTTGTCAAATTCAAGTTATTTTTGTGACCATTGTGGGTTTTTCCTTCATTAAACACAGGGTACCATTTGTTTGTCCAGGTGTGCATAAGTTCAAGTTGGCGACTGGTGTTCAGAATACTTTTCAGAACAACCTTCAGGTCTTCTTTCACCAATTTTCCACAAATACAGAGGATATATTTTTGGCTATTTGGAAAATTAATCAGTCAGATTAGATGTTGAGCTTTAGAACTTTTAAATAATTCAAGTCTGGACTTTGACTAGGCCATTTTAGCACATGTATAGCAATAAAAAAAAATAAAAAAATAGAACATCAATTATTTTTTTTTGTCATGTTATAAAATTAAACTGGTATATAGATTGAATAAAATATTTAAATTTTTTCATCAGCTGTATTTTCAGGAGGACTTCCTCACATGCTTTTAAGGCCAAAGTTAGTCCTGTTGATGAAACATCTTTCTTCTTTTTACACTTTTTCCTTCCACACAACTTTCCAGGAATGTACAGCTCTCTGAAAAACCAACTTCTACAAATAATGAAAACATAAAGAGTGGATTTCCATGAGAAAAACAAGAATGTTACATATAAAAAAGACTTAACATATGAATTTTATTGTCATATTATGAGCTAAATGACAATTGGGAAAAACTGCTGACTTGATAAAGGCCATTAAACAGGGTAGGCAACAGGTTACTGCCGACTCCATCCATGTATATTCCTGAAAAGTTGTCTGCAATCAATATATAATATTAGTTTAACTTTCCAGATATGTGGCAAAAACTTTTAAGCACCTGATGTGTCTGTAAATGCCTTGATCAAAATCAGATCAAAGCAGCTGCTTGTTTAAGGTGGTTTGATGTCTGGAAGGTGATCAATCTAGAGTAATTTTCATCCTCGTCTGGAATTCGCCTGAATTCATCGAGGCTCAGCAGCCTGATGCTGATCCGACCTTTCTTCTCAGTGGGTGAGATGTTTAATGTATAGTGCCTAATCTGAGCACAGCACCTTCTTCTACCCGACTGCTGCATCCCTGGCTTCAGGTTTCTGTATTTCAGTTTTCTTTTCATCTGATTATCTAATCATGCTTCTTTTGGTTGTGTATAAAATACACCGCGGTCTGGGGTCGTAACGGACAGATTTTTAAGTTCCTTTTCGTGTTTTTAAAGCGCCTGCCTGCTCTGGCCCCCGGGTATCGATCCTACCTTTGCAGGATGATTCACTTCCTGCTTTTCAGTAATCTCTTAACACATTTAACTCTGCTTTATGGTCATAATCATTCTGTTGCACTGAATCCATTGTTTTGGTGTTTATTTGTTGTAGTTTTTTGATAAAATTATCTATAAATTAAATTGTGTAATATAAATAAACATCGAAAGTTTTATGGGGTGTAAATATATTTTTATACATATAAATAGGAGCTTATATAGGCTTATGATTTAACCAGTTTGCTAAAGTGAAGCCAGGACATGTAACCTGGCCTACGGGGCCACAGACAGACCTGTTGTTCACCACGTTGCTGTAGGGGCTTCTGAAGAGGGAACCTGGAGAGGTTGGTGGAGGGGAGCAGGTCCCAGCTGGGGCAGAACTCTTCAGGAAAGGATCTGCATTTAATGTCTGCATGGCAATCTGCTGAAGACTATCTGCTGCTGTACAGGAAGCACAGGAATACAGAAAAAAAAAAGCAGTGAGTGATTTGAGAAATCGGATTAATACTGGTAAAGAGAGAAGTTGTAGGTCTGTACTCACGCATGCTATCAGGAAGAGGGATATCCCACTCTGGATGGGCGTAGTCCTTCTCCCCTTCAGAGCTGCTGCTGTGACCCAGCTCTGGTACAGAGGAGCTGGATGACAGCTTAGCCAAAAGCAAGGGCCGCCCGTCTTCTGGCTTCCCCTCTACTGTCAAACAAAAAAAACAAATCGATCACATAAACCCCCCTGGTCCCAATAGAACCCATAAGCTGAGGTTTTTAACCCCTGGAACCCACTTCTTTGTTTCTGTGCAGGTCTCGTCTTTGTGATAAGGGGGTGAAGAGGTTTGGGTGCAAAGCTCCTGCGTTGCTTGTTTTCCAGCGGTGTTACATATGGCAGCTCCAGAGAACTACAACAATAACAATTCATCAAAAAAGCCCAAAACACTTGTTTTAGTTTAAAAGCAAAACATAAAGAATAGCAAACCTGGATTTTTCTGTCTGGGTCTCTTTCTTTGAAGCCTCTTGTTTTCTTTCTTTGGCTTTGCCTTGGAAATTTGAAGTGTCCTCTTTTATTTTTCCAGTTGTTGTTCTTCCTTTCTTTTTCACTGGTTCCTGTCAGAAACGATGCATTTATTTAACAAAAATATATCACCAGATATCATGAGGAATTAGTGTCAATCTGCATCCGCTCCTTCGTACCTCTTTGAGGTTTGTCTCCACGTCTGGGTTTGAGGTCTCTGTGGTGGTGGAGGAGCTGTCGTCGTTGTCTGCCAGGTTCTCTTTCAGCTCGTCTCCCTGAGTCTTTAATCTTGATTTTTTCTCCTTTTCTTCCTTCTTTCTTGGGGCTTTTGTTTTTGAACGCTGCTTCCCTTTGGGGTCCAACACTGAAAACACCCAAACACAGCTTTAAACCCCATCAGAGCCACTTGGCTCAATCAAACCTCCTCAGATGAAGGTACCTTTGCTTTGGATGGTACCAAGGGACTCTGGACGGTCAAGATCGTTGTCCATGGCTCCTATCAGGCTGGAATATTCTGGATCCTCCTGCAGCGGCGATCCAGCTAAAGCTGGACTCTGGAGATCCAGCTGTTTTATGTTACGAGCTTTCCGATTAATTAACTGGCAGGGAGCTTGGGCGCCATCTTGGCTGGAGGACGAACTTCCTTTGGTGCCAAAAGGGATTCTGGGCCTCTTGTCCTGGAGGTCGGGTTCTGGTAAGGTACGGCCGTTGCCATGTCGACCTCCGACCTTTGCTGATCCATTACTGGATGAGTAAAACCCCCTGGGGTTCTGCGATGAGTCGCTATAGTCACTGAATTAGAAGCGAGCAGAAAATATCCAGTTAGTCTTTTGTTTTACTTTTAATGGCAGAATTTCCTAAAACAAAGCTAATCTTGAACATATTTATACCCCTGCTACTTTATAATATCAAACCTGGATTTTTATGTCTGGTTCAAAGACCTCCTTTGCTTTTTTTGTTCACACAAAAAAAAAAAAAAAAAAAAGTTGGTCAATCAGAGGTGGCCTAAGTATTTACATTAGAAGTACAGCAGTGGAATAAATTGATGAAAACAGAAGCATACTATAGAAGGTGTTTTGTTCAGATCAGACCAGGATTAAACTTTTTGGCACCAAAGCAAAATGCTCCACTATATTACAAAAGGTATTTGCTCACTCATCCAATCACTTCCACGACCAAAGGTTTATAAAATGAAGCAGCCGTTACAAACTTTTGTGAAAGAATGGGTCGCTCTGAGGATCTCAGAGAATTCCAGTGTGGAAGTGTGATAAGATGCTGCCTGTGCAACAAATCCAGTGGTGAAATTTTCTCACTCCTAAATATTCAACAGTCCACCATCAGCAGTATCATAAGAAAAAGGAAGTATTTGGAAACAACAGCAACTCAGACAGAAAATGGTAGGCCACCTAAGCTGATGCTGAAGCTTATAGTGAGAAAAAACGTCACCAACTTTCTGGAGAGTCAGTCGCTACACACCACCAAGCTTCATGTGGCCTTCAGATTAGCTAATGAACAGAACTTTGTGTAATGGGTTGCCATGATCCAGCATCATCTAAGCCACGCATCCCCAACCTCGGTCCTCGAGGCCCAGTGTCCTGCAGGCTTTAGAGGTTTCCCTGCTTTAGCACAGCTGGTTATATTGATTGCAGTAGAGTGACAAATCGCGCTTCTCCATCTGAAAATATGATGGACCAGTCTTGGTTTGGTGGTTGCTAAGAGAACAGTCTGTCTGACTGCACTGTGCCAAGTGTAAAGTTTGGTGGTGTGGGGTTGTTTTTCCAGGCGTTAAGCTTGACCCCTTAGTTTCAGTGAAATGAACTCTAAATGCTTCAGTAAACCAAGACATTTTGGGCAATTTTATGCTCCCAACTTTGTAGGGCCAGTTTGAACATGACCCTGAACATGGCTGTGAATGAGAGCACAAAGCAAGGTCCATAAAGACATGGATAGCAGAGTCTGGCATGGAAGAACTGGAGCAGAAACTGAGAGCCAGAACTTCTGGTCCAACATCAGATGTGACCTCACTAATGTGTTTCAGGAAGAACGGTCAAAGATGCCCATAAGCACCCTTAAACCTTGTGGACGGCCTTTCCAGAAGAGTTGAAGCTGTTCTAGCTGTAAAGGGTAAAACAAATTCATATGGAAATCCTATAGATTAGGAATGGGATGCCAATGAAGCTCATATGCGAGTCGAGGCAAATGAGCAATACTTTTGAAAATATGGTTTACATATGGCAAGAAACTAGCACTGTCACTGGAATTGTCATCCTAAAATAAAAAAATAAAAAATAAAAAGAAAACTGTGGAGGATGCTTTATATCAGCAGGAACAGAGAAGTTTAGAGCCTCTGGGTCAACTTAGTTTTCCTGCTAAAAACCCAAACTATCAGGCTTTAGCTGCACTCAATCGGCAAAGGTGACATTTGAAGACGTTGTATTAGAGCAGTAAAGGAGGGACCCTCTGGTTTAGATCTAGGAGTTTCCAGGTGTCATGGGGACCTCATCAGTCCAGACCTAAATCCAATGAACAGTAGGAGCTGATCCAAGGTAACACCTGAACCCAGCCTCTGTGTGGGAATACTGACCAGAATGCAAACTAAGGTGTGATAAAAGGCCTAATTTGACCTGCCAGAGCTTTACTTTGTGATTAAATGTACAAATCATCTCAATGGCTAATGATAAGCTCCAGCGCCAGATATGGTAACGAGTCTGCCCAGTGGTTAGCCACCGACACGAAACCACAACCCACAGTCCACAGAAGGTTTCCTCCATTATCTGTAGGCATTAAAACTCACAGGCGCTGATCTAAGCCATCAATATTTCACCCAGCAGGTTTTCCACTTGCAGTGAAGCATTCTAAAGGTCTGTTACCTCAAGGTGAAGGAAAGTGACACTAATGCCTATAGCGATGACAGACTGCAATACTTTGGTGTTGTTGGACATTATTGTCCCCATCTAACAGGGTGTGGACTAATCAGTCTATGATCAGTGCTCCTTGCAAATAACCGGACACGCCTGTTTCTTTGTTGGAGTCAAACCGCACTGCCTGACCTGCAAAACTATTCCTAGAAATTGCCCTGCCCTTACTAGTTATATTCTCTTTAAAAAAAAAGTTTTCTGCAGGAAAATAATTTTAATGTTTCTGCAGAGAACTAAATTTATTTTAGTAGTATTTGTATGCATCACCATTTGTAAGTCTACATCCTACTATTTGCATTTGTCAGATTCCTTCATTCATAAGCTGAATATTCATGGTAGGTTTGAATATTCTCCATGTTATTAGGGGGGGAAATGTAAATTGAAGTAGTGGATTTTTCTGTCACTCTTACTTTAAAACTATTTCCCTGAGGTTGAACGGTCTCCCAGTCTCCATGCCAGAGTTGGGCTCTACAGAGACGCGTCTCTTGAAAGGCTCCCAGATGCTCTGAGCCTCCAGGTACGCCGTGACGATCACCAACAGAAACATGGAGCTGCAAAGAAACAGTGTGAAAATGCAAACATGAGCCGAGCCAGTCCTGCAAAGATAAAAGTAAAACCTGTTGGGGTTTTTTTTTTTTTTTTGGATTTGCTCCCACCTCATAACGACTGACACCAAGATGTAGAGCTCCAGCTCCCAGCTGGGTCTGGGCAGAGTTTCAGCACAAGCAGCTAACATGTGGTAGGGCAGCGAGGCGTTCAGGATGAACACAAACTCCGAGCCGCCTTGTGTTACCAGCTTCAGCTCCCGGATCACCCGAGAAGTGGTGAAGTCGGGTGTAAACCTGCAGAACCGCAAAGAAATCTCACTCATCTGCATCCTTAATCACTCGTTAAAGGAAACATGGAAAAAATAAGAAGCTCCAAATGGAGAAATTCAAATCTAAACCGCACAATTTATTACTAAGCTAGATAATAGCATTTCTGCCTTCAAAATACAATAATGGCTGAGAGGGGTGGAGTGAACGTGCCACATGGAAGGGGGGCGGGATACCAAAACGAGATGTTTCTAGACAAACCTCTGAACCAGAGTAAAAAGCACAGATAAAGAATTGAGACCAAAGATGTTTTACTTTTAAAACTTAATCACTTAAATAGGAAAAAAAGGAATTTAAGGCATGATGTCTCCTTTAAGAGGTATCATTTATGTATCCTTAGAGCAAAAATTAAATGACACTACAATACTGCAAATGCAACCGATTACTCGGATGCATTACTCAAGTTCTGCATGTTGATACATTGAGCTTGTCGAATGGATTTTATTGCACAGGATATCAAAAGCTAAAAATCTGTTTTAGCAACAGATGCTAAAACTAAAGGTGTAGAGATGAAAAGAGGAAAAAAATCCCTCAAACTGAGATTTCATTGTTCTTCATTAATCTTATTAACATTTTCAAACATGGATGCTTGTTCATTTTTAAACTATGTGTTGGGGGTTAAATGTCCCTCGTTGTGGGCACTAATTACTGATAAATTTAACACACCTGAAAAGAGGCGTGCATAGACAGGTGCAGAGACCAGCTTAACGAGTTAGAGCTTTTAATAAAACACCCATGAAATTCATTCATCCTCACATGATTAAAAACACATTTTAAAACATTTACAACCTATTGGTGTGAGTAAGTTGGGATGATTTATTCCTTAAGGGTTAAACATGACCACAGCATCGCCGATTTAACCTGATAAAAGCGTTTGATCACTCACAGTATGATGAGGTCTTTTGAAGTATTTGGCTTAAGTACAAACTCCTGACAGTTGAGAACTTTGAATCCATATCCTTCGCAGGCTTTCCCGTTGATTTCTGCCGATTTGATGGTGATGGGGAGCAATCCAGTGTTCTCCACTCTGAACGTCCTTCTGAGAGTGAAGTTTGGCTCTTTGACTTTTATTTCTAAAACAAAGAAAAAAATGGATGATTTATTCCAATTCCAAGTGGTAAAAGGTCCAAAGCTTAAAGCTTAAAGCCAACGTTTTAGTTCTTTTCCTCCGTCACATGGTTGCCCTTCCTCCTCCTGTCACTTTCTGACTCAAAAGTCGGTGTTTGTTCTTTGACCCCACCCAGTGCGCTCTGATTGGTTGGAGAGAAGGCAGAACTAGTCAGGTGTTTTTCCCCTTTGTTTAAACCTGCCAAACTCGCCATACAGCTGCTGCTATTCAAATGCGTTTTCATGGTGACACTGCTATGCAAAGGAAGACAAGCCTGGACAACAATCGAGACGCTTCAAGCTGTTTAAGGTCACAGTGTTCAGTTTGATGTGCATAAAACAAAACAAACACAGCAGTACAGTTTTTATTTTATAAAATGCAACATGGCGGGAAACCAGCAAAGATCTGACAGCCTTAAAGCAACTTAAAACACATCTCTGCTTCAACTGGGCCTAATTAACTAATAGGTTACCAGCAGGACTTAATGTTGGAGGAGACCAGGAGAATAAGTGGGACACATTTACAGGATCCAGCACAGCAGACCATTAAGACTGCACAACTGGATGAAAGTAAATTAACACCTGAGTTTGTTTTAATAATCTAGATGTGACTGAAATTATTTACATTTAATCTACAGATCTAAAGAGGCTGATTTATCTTTCTAAATGTTAACAACAGGCGTAATTCAATTTAAATCTGAGTTTTTCAGTCTTGGTCGTTGGTGCTGCATGTCTGTGTTTACCTGGAGCCAATAAATCGGTCAGCAAAAAACTTCTGCAGAAAGTTAGCAGGTAATGAAATCCTTTGAATTTGGTGTTTTGGAGCAGAGATGTATCTAAAACATGCAGGACTCAGGGCCTTAAGGACTGAGGTCGTGAGTCAGATTTGAAGCAATTTAGGGAACAGTTTGTCCCTCTTCCATCAGGAAATGAATTTAAAAAAATTTGCATCAAAAACAAATAGAAACAGGAACAGTTTCTGTCATGTCAATCATCCCCCTGTGGGCGGACTCTGACTCAAATACACAAGCTTAAAATCATAAACCTCCAAACATTTTATAGCCTGTTTCTCTTTAAAAAAACAATGAATACCACATTCCAGGTAAACATGTTGTTTTTTTCCATTGTAAATCTCTGCTAAGGATGCTAGATCTTCATTTTGGGTTTTAAGTCTGTGATTTAAATACAACTTGAAGCATTTTCAGCTTTTATCCCAGAAAAAGTATTGCAATGATGGTAAAGGCTCCTATTGATACTATTGTTTTATCACTGAAGGGAAACTATACTCATTACCTTTGCATACTGGGCTGTGCACCTTTAGCACTTTGTTAAATAACATGAAGGGACTACCAATATGCTCTTTATCCGTATTTTATTGAACTAATGTGCACAGAGGTGCTTATCATCAGCAAAATGCATGGACCCTGCATAAAAGCCACTAGCATTACTTCATCTTTACTTTATCTATTTCAGATTGAAGGTTAGCATAATTAGAGTATCAATATGTTGCAAAACTACTGTGCTGTAATTCAGATAACAGCTTAAAAAAGGTTTTAATAACATTGAGATCAGATCGAAAAGAATTAATTATAAATCTTGAGAAGATTAAATCTTGAATTATAAACCGTTAACCACCCAATTCCAGGACTTGTAAAGCAGAGTAGTTTTATCTTCAACTCATTGCCATCCTGCATTAAAAATTAAAACAAAAAAACAAACAAAAAAGACTCAAATTAAACTCCATTTGCTTTCTGTTAACCAATCTCATAATTGAAGAATTTGTCAATAAATTAACCAATTAGCTCATTTATTTCTCAATCAATTTAGAGATATAGCTCTATATACACCTAAAGCTATCTTTATTTATCTCTCTATACCTATAGATCTCAACTCATTTATATATACAAATAAAAAAACTATTGAAATTTTACATCACTGAAGAATATGGAATCAGAGTAGTAATCATTAAATAATTTTTTAAAACTTTTTTGCGATTTAGTTGATTTAAAATGTGCGCTAAATAATACCGTGCTTAAATTTCAGGGGGGAAAAATTCTCTGAAAAAATGTTTTTTTTTTCTTTTTAAATAAAAAATATCTCTTTATTATTCTAGGAATTCACACGGGAATAACAGCATCCTAACTGTTAAACATGGTGATGGTAGAATCATGCTATGGGAATAGTTAGAATACATCTGGAAGTCACAGTAGTTGCACATCTGGGGCGTTTATTTTTAAAGACCTTGTCCAAACATTTATTAAACTTTATATTGCGAATATGACTGAATTATTTATCCTTTTTACAAACTTTAGAGAAATGCGTGAAAGAATGAAAAGAATCCTAATCAGCTTTCCACAGTCACTGATATCCTTCTGATTTTTATACAGCATGATTCAAAGAACTGGTTTCATAAATAAGGAACGAGATTGAAACACGTTGAAACGCCTTTTTTTTTTTTTTTAAAGCAATGTTTCAAGCAAAGAGACAAGTGTAGCATTGCACATACTGGGCCACATTGGGGGTCGACTGTCAGAGGATCTAAGACTTACTTTCTGTGCAGTCCTTCAGCAGAGCCTCAGTCATCTTAAACCTCAGCGAGCTTCCCTGCCCCGGCGGCTTCCCTGCAACCTTCAGGCTCTCTGTCGTACCTCGCCCATGAAGCACGATCGTGTCGATCACCGTCAGGTTGTTCCTATAAACATTTCCGCAGTATTCAGAGGATTAGCAGATTGCTGTGTTTGCTGAGGTCACTGCAGTCTTGCCGGTAATAAATACGGTTACCTGACTATGAGCAGAGAGGAGACGCTGTGGTTGCTGATGGGCGTGAACCTCACGCTGAATGACTTTATTTCCCCTGGCAGCAGCATGAGATTGTAGACAAAGGGCCTGTTTGAGCCTTCAACAAACCCTGAGCTGCTCTTTATTAGAGATGTCTGACAAACAAACAGAGGGCCTGTTAGCGGCAAACAGCTATCACATGCTGCCTCAAACCAGGGGCAGGAGAGATAACCAGCGCCGCACTCACTTGATTTCTGAACACCTGGAACTCTAACGTATCGATGTTGATGCTGGACAAATTTCCTAATGGCAGCCTGAGAATTTAAAGAAGAGTCGATGAGTTTTAAAAGTGATGGGAGGTTAAACAAAGAAGGATTCCTTCACCTGTCGGCTAATTTTCCAGAAAACACGGAGGGGTTGGGAAGGAGGGCCAGAGGGAGGACCTGGACGTAGACGGGGACGTCTGCTGGGTTCTGCAGAACCACCTCCTCTTCCTGCAGGGAAGCAGAAAACATGTACTTTCTTCTGTTATATCACAGAAATAAAAACATGAAACAGAGCTTTTGTTTTGCTCTTTAACTCACGGAGGAGCTGTTGGTGCTGGTCAGGGGGAATGTGATTCTCTGGGAGGAGTTAACGAGGGAAGGCCAGGTCAGATGGGCCGTTACTTTAGCTTCAATGTTCTTCTGGAGGTCCGTGTTGACTTCAAAGACTGCTTCAATTCTTCAGGGGAGAAAAAATAGGGGTGACATTTAATAAAGGTGTGGATTTTTTCATTTCCCACTGAAGGAAACATTTTTTGGGAACTTGTTTGTTACTCTAATTTCAAATACAGAAACTGGAAATAATCCAGACCAGGATGGGATTATAATCCAGTACTTTTACTATGAACTGTGAACCTTTAGGGTGGAGTTTTATCATGCAAGAATGATAAACTTCTCTTTAAGGTTTATTAATATAGGATAAGATAACTGCCAATAAAAACATAAGCATAGCCGTCTATATTTGTAAATGCTAGTAGATGCAAGTAAATTTAAGATTTTTATTTGTTTCTTGTTACTGGTTCATACAAATTACAAGGTTATAACAAAAAATACAAATGCACAAACCACTCATTTGTGATTATAAATCTGAAAATTATGAGTAGCAATCTACTACTCCTGATAACAGTTACACTCCTCACCAGTTGGTGGCACTGATTCACCTGATGGCTGTTACCCAATCACCATTAAACAGGAAGAGGGGGAAGTTTCACGTTATATTTGTGCTAAAATGATCCAAATACCTCAAATCGGTGAGGAGACTTTTTATCCGCGGAGGAACGGCATCAGCAGCCAGCCGCTATAATGAGTGCCGTCTGAATAATGCTGACAGTAAGGAAGCAGCTAGGAAGAGGAAACAGTCTGCTTCCTAGCACCTTCCTTTTTAAATGTATTCATATTATCTACTCTCATTTATTAATTCAGAGGTCTACGCATATGTTATTGACTGTTATCTCACCCCATAGAATTGGACACATTTTGTCTGGATCATCTCCAAATTTAACTCCCAGGCACTCATGTTTCCTGTTAGCTGTCAGACAGCATTTAAACTTTTTTATTTTTTCCTCAAAAAAAAAAAAAAAAAAAAAAAAAAGATTTAAATTTAAAATAAAGTCAATTTCAGAAGAATTGCGGATGTAAAATGCCAGGTTATAATTTTAATTTTAAGTATCAGATATTAAACGGCAGTTATTATTAATAGTTAGAAATCACAATTGTATTCTGCATACTGTGGTTTTGATGGAAATGCACAAAACAAATGACACATAAAATTCGGCTCAGTCGAAGCCCAGATCAGGTGTCCATTAAATGCTTACTTGTGTCCTGATCGTTCTTTGATCTCCCTCCACCGTTTAAGGAGTTTCTGATGAAGGTCTACATCAGCATCCCACATGTCCTCCTGTAACGCCAGCCCATGGGGCTTCGATTCAGCTGGGGAGTAAGAAAAAATATATATTTGAAGTCAGAAAGTGTTATACTTTAATGAAGTCCATATTTGCAGGTGGAAGTGGAAACAAATCCAGAGTCTGTAAAATGTAATATGAGGCCAACAGCTTCAGAGAAGCCCTGACAGGACAGAAGCTGGTCTCAGTGATCTAAGGTCACAAAGAGCAGCAATTACTAAAAGTAACTATTTTTTTCTTTTACATCATTGAGCAGCATGGGTGATGCCAACATGATCCTGCTTCCCCATGGAGACAGAAACATGATCTTATCTGAGCATCACACAAATGCACCAAAACTTACATTTAAGCACAAATGGCAGGCCCACATAACACTGATCACCACACTGCAAGCTGGCGTCAAAATAAATATTTGCCACCTGGAAAACATGGAAAAATAATAAGTTTATGTGCAAAAAATAAACAAACAAAAAAAGTTGAATCCTGTGGAGAATCGTCTACCTTTGATTTGCGTCGGGGCTCCAGCTCATCTTTGTTGTTGCGCAGTCGCTTGTAATAAAACCTGATGTCCTCCGTCAGCGAGCGGATCTGCTGCAGACGGACTTTCTGCGTGAAAGAGCTCTGGATGTTGAAGCTTTGGTGAACAACTTTTCCCTGAAGAGAAGACAGAAGACACAGAACCTACAACACCTCATAACCCCAGAAATCAAGCTGGGGGGAAATCTTTATTCCCACTGCTGCTTACTGGAAATGAAAGAGGCAAAGTGATGTGCTTCGGTGAGCTGTTTAATGTCCCCACCGCGATGATGGCTTTCACTGGTATGGTTAATATCTGAAGACATTAAAAAAAGAAAAGTGAAAATGAAAGGATGTAAGCTTGCATTTTCACCAAAAAAAACAAAACAAAAAGATAATGAGCCAACCTCATAATCTGTTGTGATGTGAATGGCGCCATCATATACGCCTTCCAGTGCCTTGGCAACTAACGTCACTCTGAAAGCTGCGTAGTAGCCAGATGCTAGTATCACCTGGGGAGACAGGAAAGCCTTTTATTTTTATTTTTTGCTTTGCTTGTGATGAGTAAGCTCCCTCAGGTCTTTAAACAAAGAGCAGAAAAATCACATTTATTATATTAGGGCATCCAGTGTTTCTGCAGTCTTCTGCAGGACTTCTCTACAGAGACATTATTTTTTGTTTACGAATCAGAATTTTTCATTTCTTTTTTTATAGTATGGAGCAGCAGTACCTTTTAAAAGTAAAAATTCCTATGAAATTATCACAATTTGGGCCCTTAAAACCACAATCTCCTGTTATGCCACAAGCTTCTGCACCACCCCTTCTCCATGCAACACAAGGGACCTGTGATGCTCCCACTGTGCTTGGGATAAAAGGCTCTGCTCATAGATCCCCCAATCAGTTTTTTTCCCGTGGACCAGGAGAGGTAGAGGAACCGCGTTGGGGAGAACAAAGGCAACATGTTTAAAAGGTCTTCATTCCTCAAACCCGGCTCAAGTTAAGTTGTGTGGGTTGAACATTTATACTTGTTACGAAAAACACTCTAGAAAGACGTCAAAATACCCTAAAGCCTTCAGGATGCCCCTTCATAGCACAAATAGATTTTCTTCTATCCCTCCTGCCATAAAGCTGCTCGCTCTGATGCACTTAACTGCATAGTAGCAAAGCATTTAGGAGGCTATTTGATACAGTAACATGTTGCTTTGTTATTCTCTGTTATTGGTCTGTTTTCCATTGCAGACTGCCTGAATGAATTTCCCTTTTGGGATGAATAAAGTACATTCTGGATCTGTACATGTGGACAAAGGGGCTATAGTCAGAAGAAAAAAAGAATGACGCCTTTGGCATTTAGGTTAAACTGGATTTGTGGCAGAAAAGTATCCCTGCAGATGCTGAAAATAGCCTCTACACAGCACATGATGCTGTGACTATGGTTGTATTTAAAAGGGACAACAAAGCAAGTTGAGTTTATGTACTGGTCCACTGCTCTAAACTTAGAGGAAAGAACTACAACATTTTTTTTTTTTTAAATCAGAGAACAATTATTATTGTGTGTCAGAATGGCCTAGTAAAAGTCCAATCAATTAGGAGACAAGAATAAAAACAGATGTTACGGATGGCTTTGAAAGTATAAAGAAGGATTTTAAATTGTATTCTGAATTGATCTGGGAGCCAATGGAGTTGGTGAAGGATAGGGGAAAATATGATGAAAAGAGGGGGTTCTGGTGATGACACGAGCTGCTGAGTTCTGAAGAACTTGAAGTTTATGGACAGATTTATGAGGGAGGCCAAAAAGAAGAGAATTACAATAATCAAGACGGGAGGTGATGAGGCTTTGGATAAGGACAGAGGCAGAGTGAGTGGGGAGGGAGGAACGGAGACGGTTAATGTTGCGAAGGTGGAAGTATGCAGACTGGGTAATTTTATTTATGTGTGACTGAAAGGATAGGGAGGAGTCGAGGATGACACCCAGACCTGAGGGGAGGGGGAGACGAAGGAGTTGTCAATGGGTAGTGAGAAACTATTGATTTTGGATAGGGTGGATTTAGTGGCGACAAGGAGGAGTTTGGTTCTATTTCATCCCTACTGACCGCCAGAGGGCGGTGCTGAAAGCACTGAATGTTCCCTATGGGCATGCGCAGTTCGAGTACACCTGTGACACGGGATGACCCCTCAGAAGCTATATAGCCTGGTGTCATCCTTTGCTCTGCTCCTACAGAATCTTCTCGCAAAAGCAAGGATTCTGAGTGACAGAGAAGCTCTGGCGGTCATCCGGGATTCATAGAACCGTAGTTACATACGAAGTTTGAGTTGAACAAGTCTTAAATTTCAAGTAGTACTTGTTGTGTTGGACAAACTGGATCGGGTCTCAGCTTTAGAAAGGGGCCCAATACCAGTTAACAAGCTCAACTTCCTCATCATTTATCACAAGCTCAACTTCCTCGTCATTTATTACTAATGCAGTGCATTAGGGAACGTAGTAATACTTCAAACCGATATTATTCTAAAGCGTTTTTCTTAAGCGGTTTCCCCATGCAGCCATTTAATGTTGGGCTAACTTAAAGCTCTGGGTGAAACATAAAGATTGTTTTCTCTGCATCAAAACTACAACAATCTGGTTCAAACAGCTACTGGCTTTTTCATTAGCAGTCCAACTTCATATTTTAAGCCTCCAATCATGTAAAATCCAAAAAGCTTTCTGTGTGTGAACCAAATAAACCGATAAGGTTTTTTATTTTATTTTTCACATTTTAGATTGTATTCCTTTTTTAATCAGCTGCTCCCCCTCAGTAGCAACTAAGCACTATACTAAAAACTGACTTATCAAACCAAAGAGCTGCAACAGCCACAAGCATGAAACTCAATCTAACATCTAGTATAACATAGTTCAAACTAAAAGAAATAAAAAAACAAGAAAGCCTCTACAACAGTGGATCTGGTTTCTCTGGTAAAGTGGTAGGGCTTTGTAAAAGCCGTAGAGCGTACAGTAAGCAGTTTCCATGGAAGTGAACTTCTGCAGCCACAAGTCGCTCATCTCGTAGGGGAGCAGACTTCTACTGGTATCAGATAAAGTGCTGCCTCTCAGTCACAACATCCTAACCGCTGCATCTGCACAACACATTTTTACATTTCACTGTTTCTTTTTTATTTTTAATCAGGTGCAGGGTTTGCACCGTGTCTTTAGAAAGTTTTTTGAGCCCTTAGAAAATTTCACCATACAGTCACAACCTAAGTGGAACAAGCAAAATGTTCTAGACGTTTTTTCTTTTTTTAAATATATTTCAAGTGTCATTTTGATGATTATGGCTGAAAGATAATGAAAATACAAACTCAAGTGTCTTAAAAAATTAGACTATGGTGAAAACATTTAATACTGTATTTACAGAAAATTGAGTGGAAGGAAAACTAAAACTCTATTTCTTATTAATCCAGGTGAGACAAAAGCAATAATAAAATACTAAAAATGAGACAGAATCACCCTTAACATGTCACTTAGAGCTCAAGAGGAGTAAAAATATCACCTAAAATGTAGTTTTAGTCGGTGTATGTATGTATGTATATATAAACATTTAAGTGTTTATTTTATTACGGTCTGGTTCATTAACGTTTAGTTTCATAATCCTTGCCTTTGTAGGTCTATATTACTGTCCTAGATTGGTTGTTTTTAGCCATCTGAGATGAAAAAGACAGCCTTTGATTGGCTGCTGATGTGGTTTATCAACATACAGTTAATCAAAATGCGAGCACTGAGATGGAGCCTGAAATATCTTTGCGAAACCTCCTTTTTCTTTTGATCCTTTCTGATATTTTTTTTAAGAAAAAGAAACCCCCGAAATCTTTCACATTGAGAAATGAATCCTTAGAATAATATTTAGAATGGCTCGTACTGTTTTCATTCTCCAACTCATTGAACAGCTTTGGATCAATGTCTTATCTTAAAATAAACAAAAGAGGTTAAACTGAACCGGCTCCAAAAGGAAACAAAGAGTGAGGCTGAACTTCGAATATAAAGGCTGTAAACTTCCACATCCACCATGAGACTTCTCTTATGTTTGGTGCCATGGTGGTGGTTTGCCGCCACAATGAGGAACTTACTGTTTTGTGATGTGAGGCTGAAGTGTTTTGCAGCTCCAGCAGGCGACTAAGGGCTGCCGTCGTGTTTCCCTTCTCTGTCTTTAGCAGCTCCATGGAGAGACTGTCCCCTGTGACCAGCCAGGACTTTATCTCCAGCTAGTGGACAGAAATCACATACCTGTGTCATTTCTTTCTGCTGGATAAGGGATCTAGTTGTTCTCTTGAGGAACAATGTGGACCTGTACTTCATGTTGGTTGCAGCTTATCAGCAAGTGCTGCAAAACTAAGGGTGGTGGCACAAAAGCTGATGTTGCAACATGATTAAACTGGGTGCTGAGCACTGAAAAGACTAAGTAAGCAGAGCTAGAAGCCTATGTAGACATATTTTACAAAACAGGACTTTGGGCAACAAGCTTAAAGAGACAGCTGGAGGGTATGCCCCCAGAGAGGCCTGTTCCTCTGGAAAAAAAACATCCCAATTGTTACATCATCGTGACGTCTCACCTCGATGGGGTTGCTGTTGACAACCACAAATATGATGTTGCTGGTGTCTGTGGCGCTGCGGATCCCAAAGTCCAGGACGTTCTCCTTCACACTGGGTGGCAACACGACGGGCTGGTTCACACAGGACACAAAAGCAGTATTATTTCATCACATTCAGGTTCAAAAAAACAGATCGGTCAACAAAGCTAAAGTTTTATGAATTTGTTCCCTTGCCCTCCTATTCAAGCTTTTGTAGAACTACTGCTCACTGCAGTTATCAGTTGCAAGTCGAATAATCAGCTTTGAGCATTTAGATGCAAAGATATATATGCCAGTTTTATCAAAAACAGCCCAAAGCTCACTCGGGCTGGCTGGAAAGCATTAGTTTTGCAACAAAATCTCAACAAGATTTAGATCTGGATTTTGATTGGACCATTCCAACACACAAGCTTAAACCAGTTCACTAAACCTCTGGCTGTATATTTAAGCTCATGCCCCACTGAGGCTCCAGTATGAACTCTAACAGCTCAAGACAGATTTTCTTCTAGCATTAAGTTTTTATTAACTTTAAAGTGGTATGGAAGCGGCTGTTCCAGCCATTGCAGTTCCGTATTCTCCCAAGTGGGGCCGACTTTACACGAGTGAATAAAGTGAATACGAATGGTTGTTTATCAAGGGGGCGGAATTGTTGGGGTGGAAGTTTCACAAGCAATTTTGATTGAGGCCGGTTTGTCAGAAGCATCTTCCTAACCAGTTAGCAACTTAGTGCTAGTAGGTTCCCAATAGGAAATTCCATTGGGACCAAGTAGCACCTAATTGGTGACACTGACACTGTCAAGGAACGCTATGGACAGCGGAAACATGCAAGAGGAGGAGAGTTTTGTGTCAGAGGTCGTGGATGACTCTCCTCCATCATACATTTTTTTATTTAGAGGAGGAAAGCGGGGACGAAGATGTTGTGGAAGAGGACGCCAGGGCGGCAGAAGCTTGGTTTGGTGTAGAAGGTTTACAGCCGTACATGTTTGAGGCCTTGCCTCGCAACGCTGCCAATTCTATTAGCTCTACGCCTGCCGAAGACACAGACGTCCATCCCCATGAACACTGGGACGGAACTCAATGAGAAAGGAGATTATTCTGATTTCTTATTTCAACCGTTGCGTATATTAGCTGCAAATTATGAATGAAGATGCTATGATAGTTGAAATATAATTGGCCATATTTAGGAGTACAAGCTGACGTATAACTAACTGGCCTGCAAAAGATAATGAAGAATCCCACAAATTTTAAGACAGGATTTTTTTGTTTTAAATAGAAATGTTCTAAATTCTGATATATAGTCTGATAAACAGTATATTTATATACATGTTTAAGCCAGAATGATTTGATATTTGAATATAATTTTCCAGCAACTTTGACAGACTACAAAATAGTTATTTCTTTCCACTTAACCTTTATACACTGATTGTGTTCTGGTCTTTGCAGCAACAAACTTTACTTTCATTCTTGTCAATGGAATTTATGGATAGTTTAACTTCCATGTTTATTTGATACAAACAGAACTGCTCAGATTTGATTCCATCAAAAAGACAAAAGTTCCAAATTCAGGTCACTAAATGTAGGAAGTTTGTGTTTGGCCTACCTCTAAGAAGCCGGTGTAGGCCCGGACAGGCAGATGAAACTTGGACGCATTAGTGATCAGCAAGATGTTGCTGTCTATGTGAATGGAAGGTCTGACCGCCCGAAAAAGGAGGGAAAAGATGTACCGGGATTCGTTTGGAGGGATGAGGATGGGCGTGCTGAAGTTCTGCACCTACAACAGAGGGGGAAAAGAAAGAAAAAAGAATGATGATGACGACCGTCTCATCTTCTTCAGCTCCTGGTAAATCTGGGTCATTCTGATGCTCACTTCGAACATCGTTTTGGCCTCTTCAGGCAGCGACACGTTGTGTATCCGGATAGCAAAGCCGAAGGCGTTTGTGAGGAAAATCGGTCTGTTTACTGGACCCACAGGACTGTCTCTGATGTGGAACAACGTAGCTGTGTGGTCAAACCCGAGGTAGCTGCAGGATCGAAAAGGGAAAATGTGAAATCTAGTAAAAAATAACTTTTTATCTTTTTAACTATTTTGTTTAAAAAGATAACTCACCCATCTAAAACCTCTGCTTGGTATGGGATTTCAAGCTTAGAATAACTCTTTTCTTTTGCTTTAACTGTAATTTTACCAGAAAACTGATTAGGTCTTCTTGCTTTTGAGGCTGTAATGAAAACAAAGATATAGAAATAGCAGATAAGTTTCTCCAGAGTCGATACAGAGCCCTAAAGGAGAAGGTTATGTTACAGGAGATTAGAAAAGTCAAAATGTGTCTGGTGGGAATAACTCTCGTTAATATAATTATTGACACATCATCATCATCTTATTTTTCTTCTTAAAGGAATAGTACACCCAAAACATGATTAGCCTTCATTTTCTACTCACCCCCATGCTGAACAACACTCTGGAGTACTTTTTTGATATCTCAAATGCATCTGGAGATCTGGGAGGCTTCTTGCTGTCTGCTGACATTCAAATAATGGAGGTCTATGGTGCCCGAGGCAGAAAGGTCCATAAAAGTCCACAAAAAACGTTTCAATATTCCTCCATACTGCTCGTCCAATGTATTCCAAGTGTCCTGAGTGGGTAGCATCCAGAATTTACTCGAAACGAAGTCCTTTAGAATGTTTTTAGAGCATAAACAGTAGTGTATAGGATTTCCTGAAAGCGCGTTCACGGCGCTACGGAAACCGCGGCAGACCAAACCAGATGAAAGTGCGCATTCAGCTCGGCAAAGAACTCATGCTCTTCCTCAACACTGAAGTCCTCAGACATTTTTCTTTTGTTGTTTCTTTCTTTGCACAGGTAAACAGCACATTTCTTCTTCTACGCTTGCATTATCGGCAGAGCAGACGCTGAATGCGCACTTTCATCTGGTTTGGTCTGCCGGCTTCCGTAGCATCATGAACACGCAGGCGCGCGCTTTCAGGAAATCCTATACACTACTGTTTATGCTCTAAAAACATTCTAAATGACTTCGTTTCGAGTAAATTCTGGATGCTTCCCACTCAGGACACTTGGAATACATTGGACGAGCAGTATGGAAGAATATTGACACGTTTTTTGTGGACTTTTATGGACCTTTCTGTCTCGTGCACCATAGACCTCCATTATTTGAATATCAGCAGACAGCAAGAAGCCTCCCAGATCTCCAGATGCATTTGAGATATCAAAAAAGTACTGCAGGGTGTTGTTCAGCATGGGGGTGAGTAGAAAATGAAGGCTAATCATGTTTTGGGTGTACTATTCCTTTAAGGCCAAAGTGTTCCTGCAGAGAGCTCAGGTCATCTTTAACACCCGTGCAATTTCATTTCCTGTCCAACATGTACCCTTTCCAAAAATATGCTTGTTTCCGCTTTGAAAAACATACAAAAACACCCACTTACCATCAAAACTGATCGTCGCAACTTTAGTATATCTGCTCTCTCCCGCTTTGAGTGTAACTGCTTTGAAATCTATGGTGACGGCTTCGTTTGAAGGAGTCGTCCGTACGCTCTGAAGGGAAGAGAAAGATCAAACTCTGTCACCTCACTTTTGTAGTGAGGGTTTTAATGGTTCCACAAACCTGAGGGGTAAAACACGCACCGTGATCGGAACGTCGTTTGTTCCTGAATTTAAAAGATGCAGATTCAGGAGTTTGGGGCGATCTGTAAGACAAGGTGTTCGGGATTCAAAAAAACATCAGACGGGTTTAACGTCACAATGATGAGAAAAAGCATTTTAAGTTCTGTTTACCTTGTGATCGAAGCGTACCAAAATCAAGCATTTCTGTGGAGGAGTAAATACCAGGAGCTGCAAATAGAATTTAGTAGTTAGGGTAATTCAATTCAGTTTATTGAAATAGTGCCAACTGACAACACATGTCATCTCAAAGCACTTTACAGTTCAACAGATCATACAGTCAAATTGATTCAATGTTTTCTAAGGAAAACCAGTTGATTGCATCGACTAGAATGCAATCCCTCACACTAAGCATGCTTGTAGTGACAGTGGAGAGGAAAAACTCCCTTTTAACAGGAAGAAACCTCCAGCAGAACCAGGCTCAGTGTGAGCGGCCATCTGCCGAGGATGACTGGGGTTCAAGGAGACAGATGCAGAGATACAAAAGGCAACTGTAAAAGGTGGCCCCATGTAGGAGGTCATGCAGGAGGTGGAGATACAAAGTTGGATTAAAAATGGTTTTGGAAGCTTACCTGCTGTGACCTCAACCTCAACAGGGAGGATGATGAACTGGTCTTCGTTTGGAGCATTCGTTTTGATCCTGATGAAAGCCGTGTGGTTGTCTGCGTCTCTGGAGGAGAAGCTGGCTCTCATCACCCCCTTTGTCTCGAAAGGAGGGATCTCCTAGAGAGGTGGAGGAGGTTGTTACTATTAACCGTTCACCTTTTTCTGACAGAAGCTGTTTTAAATCAATTGGAGCTCACCCAAAGCTTTCCGGTACCTCCTTGTTGGCCCGTGGGAAGCTCTAAATGAAGATCCCCGCCACTGGAGTACATCTCAACAACCTGAGGAAAGCACACAAAGGTCATAAAAAATCCCTCAGTAAATCTGTGTAGATCAGCACATTCTGAAAATATCTCACTTTTTGGTCGCATGAAAACAAAAATACACATAAATATATTTTACTGGAGTTTTAAGACACGGAGCAACATGAAGTGTTGCTCTGTGGAGAAAAGTATATATGTTTTAATAACTTTTACATAAAAAAGCAGTGTGGTACAGAGAAGTTTTAGATTCATCTAGTTATTTAAAAAAATTTGCATCCTTTTAAGAAAAGGCAATTTCTTCTTCAGTGCCAAAACTATTCAAAATGCCGTACATGAAAACAAAAAAGAAAAGTATATTAAAGTGGAAGAAAGGCAGGACAAATATTTCAAGAAAATAAAAAAGATGAATTAAAAAGGAAAAGAAATAGATAAAAATCCTATCCTGCAGTTTATTGCTGTCATATTAAGTTTCTTTTCGTAAAAAGAATTTAGAATCATAAACCAAAAGATTAACTATGATCAATGCTGCAAAAAAAATCTCCCCGTTTTAAACGGAGCATTGATGAATTAAAAAACAGATTAAATGCAGTTTATTGATTAAAAAACAAAAGAACACCTTTTATTGGACTGATGTCCTGAAGAGGCTTGTTTTTAATGGGTATATTTACAAATAGCAGTATTTGTTGTCACAATAGCGCCACAAAAGATAGGTCATAGGACCCAATTCTAACAGTAAATGTTGTTAAGGTATATATATATATATATATATATATATATATATATATATTAGTGCTGTCAAAATTATCGCGTTATTATCGCGTTAACGCGAGGCCATTTTAACGGCGATAATTTTTTTAACGTGAGATTAACGCTATGTGGTTTTATGGTACAATTTTCCAAGTACATCCCGCTGCAGCCTGCGGGAAGGCGGGGCTATTTTCCCCCAGTCTATGCATTTTTCATAGGCTTCTAGAGCGGAGCTCCTCAAGGGAAAAAGACGCTCATACACTGGGTGACGCTAGTGGCTTTTCTTTAAGCCCCACCACCAACAAACAAGTTGAGTGTCTGGTAACTAGTAGCAACCTGAAATACGCTGAGAAAACAGATTACTGAGGTGAAATGGAATCTGCTACGGCACTCTTGCTGTCTGTGTACGCCACAGGTCGGTATCGTGTGTGTGTGTGTGTGGGTGTTCTCATTTTTGTTAAGAGGCTGAAAAGTAACTTTCTAGAGCATAGACTACCTTCATCTAGTGATGTCGGTCTATTGATTTTGATGTATTGATTGAAAATTGTTCATTATTACCTTGGTTAATTAACATCTAATGTTAACTGTACTACATTTTATAGCAGTAGGGTAAAATGCTTGTCTTTGTTCAAAAGACTGTATTAACTGTAAAGACTGTCTTTTACATCAGCCTGTTTTCAGGGCCTTTTTTTTTGGCTACATATTTGTTATTTTTTGCTACATGCCTCCCCATCTTCTTGCCATATGTTTCTATGGCATAAATCAGTGTCTGTGACCTGTTTTCATTTTAAAAAAAAGAACATTGGCACAAACCTAGCCTGTATGTATTTTTTTGTATGTCATCGAGAGTATTTAAATGATTTTCAATCAGAAAAAAAATTTGCGATTAAAATGCGATTAATCGCGAGTTAACTCAGGCATTGATGCGATTAATCGCGATTAAAAATTTTTTATTGATTGACAGCACTAATATATATATTTATTAAAAAAATAACCACAATTGCCTTTACTCCCTTAAAAATAAAAACATTAACTGGTTTCAAATCCAAATTCCCTGGACATTCACATTTTAGTAAGTTTGAACATTTATGATTTGAATAATTTGACTTTTTAATTCATCTATCGAAATTGCTCAACATTAGAGATCTAAATTAGTTCAGTTTGATCAACTGTATAAAAACCATCATGGTTTGTGGGTGTAAAATGAAAAAAAAAAAAAAGAAACAGGGTATGAAACTTTTGCAAGGAAGTTCTAGGAAATAGGATTAAGCTCTTCAAATACCTGCAGTGGTTCACTGAAGGGGTTGTGAATGTTTATTAGAGGGGAGAAGCTGCTGTTTACAGGGACCCGGGCCCCAATGAAGGGCCGCAGCCTGTAGGGGTTTGGGACGCCCACCCCGAAAACCTGAAGAGGAGAAAAGATCAAAAGGTAGAATTAGTGACCAAACTCCTGCGAATATAAGCAAACCTTCTGGGGTTGGGTTTTGTACCTGGTATGTAAACACTCCATGATGTGACGTATTAATAAATAAAGTGTTTTCTACATTTCCAACAACTCGAGCAAGAAAAACTACATCAAAAGATGTGTTCCCTCCTGGTGGGATTATCTGCAGGAAGAACAGAGGAATGGGAGAATATAAATTAAAGTGTGAGACACATAATATACTTATCAGACAAGCAAAGCAACAATATAGTATAAAAACAGTTGATATCTACTGCCATCAAAGCACCACATGGTAACTTTGATGGTGACTGTGGTTTGAGTCGGCTACTGTGGGTTTTTGCAGCTGAGTTCCCAGAAAAGATGCATTTATAGAAAAACAACACAAAATAGAAGCTTGCAAAGTTTAGTTTCACAATGATGTTTGGCTTTAATGCTGTCAAATATTGGGAATGAAGGTGACTAAACAAAAATATCTCGGTTTCCGGAGGCTGCAGAAAGACGGGGGGAAGTTTCTAACTTACTTTATGCAAATATAAAAGGGAGAAGAAGATTCTGCAGCGTAACAAACAGACTACTTGGAAAGGGGGGAAAAAATAACTAAAAATTAAGGAATCTAAATTCAATGAAGAAGAGCATTTAAGATTAAGTGTTTCTAGAATATTAATATTTTTAATATATAGAATAAAAACAAAATTAAGTTAAAATTCTAAGATAAAAAAAAAAAATCACACCCCTACAAAAGTTAAGTGGAATCAGCAAATAAATATTTGTTTAAATAAATAAGCAATAAGCAAAAAAAAAATGTAGATCATCCATGATGATCTGATGCAACATACATGCAACCAGATCACATGATCTCAGCCACACATATGAAACCTGTGATCTGTGAATGTAAAACCAGACAAACAAGCCGACATGCCTGAAATCCCTGTTTAAAAAGTTTTTCTCTTGTTGTTAAAAGGAACCTTTTGATGTACAGTGCCTTTATAAGTTAGTACCACAGAAGCAAAAGCGTTCTCGTTAAATCATATACATATATTAATATAAAATTCATATGTTTTACACTTGTTTTTGGTGCGCTTGTTAATCTTAATCATAATCTTTGGTATTTAAGGTATTTACCTCAATAAGATCACGTGACCTGAGGTTTGAAATTGTGCATGTGTGCAACGGGTAAAAAAAGAAAATGAAGTAATTTGCAAAGTTGAGGATCACCAGATAAAAATGAAATAAGGAAAACTGCAAAAAAACTAAAAAATAACCAATCAAAACAGCTAAGCCAGGTGTGGGATGCAGAGTAGATGCAATCTGTCATGTCTGCTTCTCTAGAGCTGTTTGCATATAAAAAATTATCAGATAAAAAGAGGTTACCATATGATATAACATTCAGGCAGTAACGGAGTAATATAATGCATTACAAACAAAATTTTGGTCATAATATTACAGTTCCTAAGATGGGTAACATCTCCAAATCTGAACTGTCGGTTTTGAAAAGATGACCAACGATTGTTGGAGGTCATGTATTTTTTGGAAGAGTTGCTTTATAATCAGGAGATGGTTTTAAAACAGTAGAAGAAGAATACGGCAAAACTGCTAAAACAATCAGTTTTGTCAATGTTTTCCAACTTGAAATGTGACTTTGTTGGTTCAACTTTGTGTGGACACACTTTACACAGAAGCTAATAAACGAGGCACAGAAAGAGAGCTTGTTCCTTAGAGGATTTATTATTCTGTATCATTTATATTTTTATGATTCAGCTTTTCATGACAAATAATTTTGCACCTTAACTTTGTAATGCCGTGTCCTAAATGTTTATTTGAATAAAGGTAACTAAAAACCAATCAGTAACTTATTATTTCACACAGATGGTAAAATTGTAAACACTAACAAAAATAACTTTTAATATGAAACATGTTACATTTTGGAAGTAATTTGCCCAACACTGTTTGTAATCCTCTGGCTTTCATTGCTATTAATGAACGTCAGAGTTAGAGCTTTATAATAGTTAATGCCCATTTCTTTTGTCTTTGAAATATATTAGCTTCAAGTTATTTTCACCACACAGCTGAACAAAGTGGTCAACCACAGAGCCATGTTCAGTCTTGCACTTCTGCAAGAAGAACGTGAAAAACTTGAAGCCGACATAGTTTAACTTGAGCTAAAAGATTATGAAACCCTGTGTTAAACTGGGCACTTTAATGCAATTTTCTATTGTTTTGACAAAGAAAGAATATATGTATTTTGTCCAAGAACGTTTTAAACTCAATACAATATAAATATGAGCATATCTAAGAGCTGCCCATCTTTGGCGCTTTATTTTTTATTTAACCTTTCATGCTTCTTGGGCGTCCGGTACCAGACCATGAGTAAACTGGGAGCAAACAGGACGTTCCGTACTCCCCCTCTTAAAAGAAACACAGTAAAGTGTCTCAGCAGGATATGAGCAGTGATTAGCTTGATTTAATCAGATTGAGGGTCATAACCTTTTTATCTTTCAGAAGTCTGCTGGTTCAAAGAGGAATTAGGATCAAAATAAAGAGAATGAAAGTGAAAAATGGAAGCGCTTGAAAAAGCAGTTCACAAATTATCTAGAAGTTTTATTTAAGCAATATTACACTGGATTTAAGTTGATGTGACCTGCAGTCATATAATTTTACATTGAAAATACAACATAAAACACAAATAGGTAGCCAGAGGACATATAACACCACGGCTCTCTACCTAAACCGCTAAAATAGAAAAGGGATATTTAAAAACTTCCCCATATGTCATCATCAAATAAATATCTGCAGAGGCTGTTGAGCTGTGCTGTCACCACCTTGTGTGTGAAAACACCTTTTATTCCAAAAAGGCCCCACCTGAAAGTAAGTCTAACCCAGCAAAGAGGAAGCAGGTAGAGCCTGTTTGCAAAGAGGCAGAGGGTTAGCTTGGATGAAACATTGCCTTGCTATGTCAGTTTTGATAAATAAATGACAACGGAAGTAGGCAGCAAACCGCTCTAAACCGGATTAACTCCCTTTCTTTTCTCTTTGGTTTAAACCTCGCAAAAAATTTATTCCAACCACAAATATTCATATATTCTTTCATGGTGATTGAACAGCAAAAATAAACAATTAGGGAAGAACAAAACAAAAAGGAAAAGCATTGCCATCAGTTGTTTTCCATCATCTAGAAGACGTCACTAAGAAATGTGTTTTTCCTTCTTCCTACAAAATTCCCAGGATGCCATTTAGATCCTTCTTTATATCAGTGTTATATGACAGTGGGGGAAGAGGCTGTTCAAATTCAAAAGATATGAAATCATCCTGCAGCAGCAGAAAAAAAGCTTTTCAGATCCCAACAGTTAGAATGATGACATCCGATTTTTTATTTTTTTTTTTATTAATAGGCTGTGTTTCCAGACTCTGGCTCAGCTTGGAAACCCAGCTAAGGGTTTGGGAGCGTGACCCGTGTTTGGGGGCTTTAGCCCTGTCGCTGGGTCGGACCCCGACCTGTCTACCTGCCTTACCCCTCTCTCTGGTCTAATTTCCTTTCAGCCTACTTAGAAAACAATAAAATTAAATGAAATAAAGGGAACTAGAACCTAGAAAATTATCTTAAGAAGGAGCCCTGCAGAGGATTATGTGGGGAGCCTAGAGGTCGATGGGGTCTCAGCTATGTTTGGGCATCGAGAATCAATCAGAACCAGTTCCAACCTTTGAATCCTCCCAGAATTGGTCCAATTTCTTATTTTTGATTCCTACTTTTGATGCCCAATCTGCTGACTGGAAATAGAAGTCTGCCCATTATGAGAAAGATGAATCCACAGCAGTGTGTGAGCGACCATCTGTTTGTTTTGCAGCACTGAAAAATGTGGCCTCAAGTTAAATAAAGAGAAGACCAGTCGACTAACCTGTGACACTGGAGATGGGATTATATTACACAAAGGACAGGCAAATGGCCGACGTGACCAAACGCCACCCAACTTGTCTTTGACCCGCTGTACCACTTTTGTTAGGTAGATTCATTAAGGGAATTTGTTTCTCCTCTTATTAGCGCAGCTTCTGCAGGAAGAGCGGAGCCTTTTTTATACACATTTCCTCTTACTTCACGTCTTGACAGATACCCGCCGTGTTTCCTAGGTATTCTGGATAGAATTAAAAGCACTTTAATCTCGATCTACAAGACTGATAAATAATCTTATGCACAATTTTTATTTGTTTATTTTAGTTCATTTAGGATTGTTTCTTATGACAAAAACCCACTAACTGAAAGATAGGCGAGTCCAGAAAAGTAAAGCATCACTGTTTGCACGTCTAGTCTAGAACCGCACTGCATATGACATACGCACCTGAAACATCAGAAAGTCGATGCAAATGTGTTTTAATCTGATTTAAAAGAATAAAGATCCATATGAAAAAGTATGTCTGTCTCATTTTAAAACTCTTCTTAAAACCCACCTCTTTTCTTTGGCTTTTGACACCATGTAGAGTGTTGATTTTATGTATACACATGCATATTTTTATCCTGTGCGGGCCGTGCTTTTATTTTATTTTATTTACTTTTATTTATTGTGCAGCACTTTAGAAACCTTGTGTTTATTGAAATCATGCTATATAAATAAAGTAGATTGGATTGGATTTCTGTAAACAGAAAATTCACCAGTTTATATTTGGGTTCATATGTTTGATATTAATATTCTGGTTAAAAATAACTATGTGATAATTTTAATAATGTTCACACAAAGTTAGATGTTCACGGATTGAAATTTAATTGAGAAGTTCAGACCATTGTTAGCCCGTTCATTTGAAACAAGTAAACTTTTTTGATTCTTCCTAAAATAATGAGAATAAATGGGAACTGGAATGAAATCAAGGAATTGCAATCTTTTCTTATTTAAACAACAAACATTCTGTTCTCTCGAATAAGTTCAGAATATCAACAGAGACTCTTCCCACACTCTCCAACCTCAAAATAATCTGTCGACAGTTCCAAAAGAAATGTTGTCATCTGTTGTTTTAAACCATGAGTCATGCAACTGAATCACAAATTGCTTTGCTGGTTAATGTTTCATCAACTACCACCATGAGCTGCGCTTTAAACCCTTTACTAATACCAGATAATATGACTCACTTGCTTCTGCTTTTCAGGTCCCTCCCATCATTCATCATGTTTAACAACCTGCCAGCCAGGCTTTTCTTAAGCAAGGACTACAAAACCCACAGATAAGCACAGCTTTCTCACGTTGCTCTGCGTCTAAATGCATGCGGATCACTTGTTTACTGCAGAGACCAGTGAACAAAGCAGGAAAAACAAAAGGATGTCTCACTGACACGTCGAGCATTAAGTGGAATTTTTTTTCCTGTTAATTAGTGTAAACAGTTTGTACTATTTAAAGAAATTAAAACCTTGACAAAATAATGTTCAACAAGTCTACTGACCTATAGACATAAGGTCAACAGTGCGATCTTCCCCAAAAAAAAAAAAAAAAAAAAAAAACCCTGATGATGCACAAATCCTTCCAGCAGATAAAATGGATCAGATTTGAAACAATAAAAATAATAAAAGCAAAAAAAAGGGGGGGCTACTTACCCTATTTTGGAAAAAGGAGGCGTGAAAATGTGCTGTTGTTGCTGATATTGATATCAAACTAATTTCTTCTGAGCTAGGATTATGTAAATAAACTTTCTCCATTTTTGGCATTCCAACAGGCCTGCAAAGGAAGACGAGAACGCTTAGTTAGTGCAGGTATTAAACTCTGCTGTGGAGAAAAACAGGGCTGAAAGGAAAAGAACTGGAACAAGCAGAGGTTGCAAACACCAGTCAGGATTTAAAAATAAAGATATCAGATCAGTTTATACAAAGCCTCAACCGGTTGTCTTTGAATAGGAAAATACTCCAAAAATAACAGAAATGAGACACACTAACAGTGCTGTCAGTGAGAACTGGCATCTAAACAGAGTCTTACTAACATTATAAATAAAGTTATAAGAATCTTCGATGAGCACAATAAAAGAAAAGTCTTTGTTTTTTTGTGTTTTTACATCAGAGGTGTCCAAAAAGGCCATGAGCCTTTCCAAATCCAGCCTTTTCTGTCAAACACTGAAAACTCAAAATCCTTCCTGTTGTCTGCTCAAAATTTTGTTCTCTCTTTCGCTCATAACCTGAGCGAACTCAGGACGATAGTCAGTGAATTCAGTTTTGGTGCATTTCTTGTCGTTATTCTATAACAGTCCACTAATAATGAAAACAGATTTGTGTTAATTTCCCTCAACAACTTCCTCGAAGAGGGGAGCGTTTTAATCATCAGGATGTGGAAGTTCTCGTTTGTTGCTATTCTATTCGGTTTCAGTCTGACCGTGACCAAAACCTGTCCAATTGTTGCCAACTGATCCTTTTTTTAAATAAAACTCTTAAAAAAAAAAAAGCACCGTTTCTCAATTCACAAGAACGCGAGTACGGCTTGTGTCCTCGCCAAGTCTAAATAATGATAAATTCGTACTTTTTTCGTTTATTGGGGAATAATTATTAACACAGTCAGATAACACAAATCAAATAAACATTTTGCCAAATAAAACAAAAAAACTCTCCATCAGAGCCAGCGGTCCTTAACGCACAGCTATGCAGAGAGAGGGCTGCTGCAGACGGGCTAGGATTAGTCCCGGCTGCCGTAACCCTCGGAGGTCCGCTGCTTCCCACGGTCCTCTCAACTTCGGAATTTTTTATTTTTATTTATTTTTTTTTTATTTACGAATTAAATCGGTACATTGCCATATCGTGGCACTTAAATGTTTTCGCATCAAACGATGTTAAAATGTACTTTTATTGAACAACAGCAACAGAAAAGAACTTTTAATTTAATACGCTGAGCTCTGTGAGCGCTCCATTGAAAGCTGCTGCTGCCGCAGTGCATGCTGGGACAGCTGTCAATCTCAAGAACGGACAAGTCTGCTCTGATGCATACTCAGAGCAGTATGCATCAGACCGTCTGCTGTTATTGTGAATTGGAACAGCACTAGGGCTGAGGTTGATGACGTTTCTACGGTGGCCGGGAGGTGCAGACCAACATTACAAGATCTAAAAAAAAAAAAATTTACATTTCAGGAAACAAATTTAGATGAAAAATAATAAATAAAAATAAACAAAACACTTTTAAAAATTTAAAACAAATAGCATTTTAAGAAAACAAATAAAAAACATTCAAAACACTTTTACAAGTCCCAAAACAAATGATCATTTGAGGAATTCAACCGGAAAGTGTGGGTACTAACTCAGAGGCAGGATCGGTCTTGTGCGAAATTCTGTTTCTGTTCCCCCTGTGTCGGGAGAGTGTATTGCAGCCAGAGAGGCGGATCTGACCATTTTCAAGGCGCTCCTGATCATTTCTTGGTGAAAACAGCTCATATAATCATGTCAACTTTGCAACATTCAGTTTAATCGGTTGATCTTTTTACAAATTTGTAAAATAAATACATTAACAAGGTCTTCTTACGCTGTTTTGTATTGTTTTTTTAAAACGCCAAGAGAATCGGTATTTCTCCAACTTTTGTCACTGACAGAAATAAACGTCAGTCACCAAACACAGATTTCCAACACGTAGTGTATTTTAAATTTTTCATTTCTGATATAAGAGTATGGAAACTGGCTGATAGCAGGGCAAACAAATTAAGACATCCTGGGAAGATGAGAATGTAGAATTTCTGGTTAATCCCCTTCTAATGTAAAATATGACAGATTACTGGATTAAGGACATTTCTGGTATAACATATCACACATATAAATTTTAGAGAAATTGGAAAAAGTTGCTCTTTATTTACCATAGATATGGGAGGAGGAGAGGAGAGAATGGAAGTTTCAACTGACTGAAATAAACCGTATCCCCTCCATAACATGGGAAGAAATTAATGTACCTGCAAGTCTTTAACTGTGCTTATTCCTCTGACAATCAACAACAAATTCTGAGGATTTTATCATATTTACTCTTCATTTGCCATAATTAAAAGAGAATGAAATGATGCCTCACTGGGGGAACAGAAACAGAATTTCGCACAAGACCGATTCAGACTCAGAGTTAGTAGTTTTTAAAATGTAAATTTGTTTTCTGAAATGATCATTTGTTTTGGAACTTGTAACAGTTTTTTAGATTTTGTAATGTTGGTTTGCACCTCCCGGCCACCGTACGTTTCACGAGAACATGAAAACGCACAAGTACACCGAGTGAGAAACGGCCATAGTGTGGGTAAGGTTTGAACTAGAGTGGGACAACCAGCATCTCCACATTGTTAATCCACCATTCAAAGCACACCATAGACTCTTTTGATTTCCAACCTCTTTCGGTAGCCAGCAGGCTGATAGGAAAATGTTATGGTATGAAAATGGAGAGCAGCTCCTGTGGTGTTTTAATGACTTTCCCTGCAGCACAAATCAGTCAATGACATTTTCATCCCCGACAGAAATCCAACTATCCTCGCTCTCCACTCAAGTCAGCGCGTCTGAATAAACCTTGAGGTTTTCTCCCAGGCTGAAAACATTCAGGGCTGTTTGTGAACAGGTGGCCCCACTTACTGAGATATTTGGTCTAATAGGTGAGTAGCTGAGGCTGCGTTTTGGCTGCTGAGATAAACCAAGTTCTTTTCTTCTGGTTGATCCACGTAACTATAACTGCTTCTTGACAGAGTGCATCTAAGTATCATCAATGTGGGAAAAACAAAAGAGGAAGGTACAGGAAATAGGGATGTCAATAAAGTTAACAAAAGTGGAGTACTCACTGTTCATGAAAGTCTAGCATTGGAGGTTCAAACCGTATAGGTCTGCAGTTCCCTCGGTGTGGGGATGTGCTGCAAGAGACGGGAAGGTGTGACAGCAGCAGGAGCAGGCAAGCAACAGAAGTATCCATGTTTAGGAACAATAAAAAAATAAAATAAAAAATAATCAGACGGGCTAAATGAATGACGAACTCCAAGGTTTTGCTTTAGTTAAAATATAAGGAATGAGAGGGAATAGTTCGAGTCTGCAGGACGCCATTTCCATATCCAAAAGTCTTAAAACTTTGGGTGGAAAAATGAAAAAAAAAAAAAAATATAAGCTGGAGCTCTCAGACTGTAGTGCTTCTCTTAAGGGAGGTAACAGCTATTAAAATTGGGTTACAAGCAGTCTGGATGTTAAAACTCACAGAACCTGCCAGGCAGCAGGTGTATCCAAACAATGGACAGAGAGGGAACTCCACCTCGGCGGAGGAAGTACACAACAGAAAAGTGTAACCTGAGCCTTTATGTAAATCTCATGCAAAAGGAAGTTCATCAGAGATGCAGACGTGGCACTCAGCTGTGCTTCGGCTCAGTTAATAGGAGCTGAATGTCACATGTTTGTCTTACCACATATATGACTAATTCATCTGTGATAAAGTCTCCACATCCAAGGCAAACAATCCATTTAACCACCCTGCTCTAATTATATGATTCCACATTGCCTTACTTAATATAACTGCTGTAATTATTTTAACTCCACCCTTAAGTCAGATAATTTGCTGGAGATCCGTTTCACCTTTCTGATACCAGCCAGCAAGAACACAAAAGCTGGAGCATGGCGCTCCATTAGCCAGGAATTAGGCAGGATGGATTTACATCCCCCCAGGAGGTAGAATGAGCTACAATACAATGTTCCTGTGGGACAAACCGTCAGCTGTCCTGTCTTCACTTTGTTTCTGTAATATCAGTGCTGACAAAGTTCTTGGGGCAAAAAAAAAAAAAAAAAAACTTCCAGTGGATCCTGGCTGTTAACGCTACGCTGCCCAGCACCACAGAGCTGATGTGTTGAATGTCGGCGTGTAAACTGAGCCGCTCAGAAAGATCACAGCGGAAGGCAGCAGCTCTTCCTCTCTCAACTGCAGTCACTTGCAAAAGTATTTATACCCTTCGACAAACAAAAAACTTTAATGCATTTTGTGCACTTTGCTGTATGTATGGATACTATACTGATTTGGTATGGCGTTAATACTAAATTAAAGTGTTGTTTGCATGTTTTAATTATAGTTAAGTTTAGATTTCTATGTTATTTGCACATTAAAAAGCATAATACATCAAACACCCTTAAAATTGTCGAATTGAGTTATATTTTGGGTTATTTTACATTTATTGGCGATTCTCTTGAAAAGGGATGCTTCACATTGAGATGGAAAAAAAGGTTTGCCTTCAGTTATTTGGCTTTTAATTCCTATAGTATCAATAATGTTAGCAGGGATTGAATGCTTTGATCCTTTACCATCCATCTTTCTTTCCATAAAATATCAATCATAAAGACTTTGACTGGGACATACCAAGTAGGGTTGGCCAATTGACTGCATTTGAAACATCATAAAAAAAGAAAAAAAAGAAAAAGGAATTTCCTAATATTATTTTTTTACCTTATTACGTTGAACAAGAGTAAGACTTTTAGGTGGCAGTAATACGCTTGAAGTTCCTCAGAAGGGAAAAGAGAGTTGCATAAGAGTATAAGCAAGAACCCTAGTAGAATCTGGACAAGGGAGCGTTACGGCTGTGAAAACAGGAGCCAGGAAGAAAAAATGGAAATAAAACTGAAATCACAATTTCAACTGAAAAAAATAAGGAGAATTTTAGATTTTTTTGGATATAAAAAAAAAAACAGCCATAAATCTTGTTTACATACTCCACAAGGTTTTTTGTTTTGTTTTGTTTTTTTTCAGGGTGTGCAAGAGTAGTTTTCTGTTTGTTCAGGATTTAAAATGGGCGTCAACATGTAGCAAAAGCTAGGAATTCCGTGCAGTGATTGGTTGTGATGTATAGTTTGTGCATCGGCTGGCAGACGGAGTGAAAAAATTAGAACGTTTCTATGATACCAATTCTAAATAATGTGAAACATTTTGTTCTCCTTCTCCTCCTCCTTTGGTGGATGAGACTTTCTATGAATTTAGCAGCTGAGCTACTTGCCAAGTAAAAATACTCGGAGGCAAAACAAAACTTTTTCTCGTTCCTGATCTTGCAGGATTATCCAATAAGTCTATATCCAACATATGAATCTGATTTGAACGAGACAAGGAGGTTCCCAAACATTTCAGCCTGTGACCTGAAAATAACAGACAGGGGACCGCCTAACAATACATATACTTGATCTATATTCATTTATAAATGTAAGGTTAAATAACTAGATTCATTTTTAAGAGGAGTGTTTTTATGACATATTTGTTCCATTCATCCTTTCAATCCCCTAATCACTTCATAAAATATTTAATGGAGTATTTTTCTGTTTAAAATTAAATATTAAATCTAATTAAAATATTAGATTAATGTAAATCTCTAAATGAATAGTTTATGGTACATTCCTTTCTTTTTATGCAACATTTACATTTATGCATTTCATGATATAGTTTAGCCATCCCAACACCTCAAGGAACGCATCATAATGACTGTGAAAACCGCGTTCCCACTTTGGGAATCCCAGACCTAGCAATTCCTTCAAGACCGGCATACACTATGTGATTTTTTCACGCAGCTACAGCTCACACTGTACGATGAATTTGCAGTGTTTTGTCGTACATTAAGAGTTCACAGCTCACGATGCATGTTCTCACACTATGCGATCCGACACTATGATGCGATCTACCTGCTCACACTGTATGTCTAAAAACCACGTCGGACTCAGCTCCGCAGTGAGATGGCGCTCACTCAGATTTGTCTATCCGGAAGCCAAACGAGTAGAGGAGGAATATGAAGCTCACTAGAGTGAAACGCGCTGCCTTGGCAATTCGTGCAATTTTTTGTGCTGAATGCCCTAAAAAGAAAAGGTGACAACGTGTTTGGACAAAGACATGGCTGAGCAAACGTCGCTCCTATGGTCTGTCAATTTAAGAGAAAAAACTCCATTTCACTCGCACCCACCCGCCATGCTTCTGTGTTTTCATCTGAGAGGAAGAAGAAGAGTCCTTTTTTGCGCATTCACACTGAGCAATTTGCCCACGACGGTAGACTGAAAGTCAAACGTGTTTTATTTTCTCACCGACCTCACGATTCCTGATCAGGAGGTGGTTGTGAGAGGCTGATCGCCCCTCTCACACGACTGGAAAATCGGCCCCAAAAGGGCATTCAAAAAAAAAAAAAAAACGTGCCAGGTATGCCCGGCTTAAAGCAGCCAATCTTTTGCTTTCTCCATAGCATGATGCAGCCACCACTATTTTACACCACTGTGATGGTGAAGCTCTGCAGCTCCTCCAGAGTTACCACTAGCCTGTCTCTTTGTCTGAGCGGACAGCTTTGTCTGTTTACATGATCAGCTGATGGGGCAAGCTGAGCTTCATGAGGCGTCACTGAAATTAAATTAGACACATTTGGAGCTTACTAATTAACAGGTTGGTGGAGTCCTACTGGGTGATTTCAGAAGGTAGTAAGGGGAACTGATTTAATTTGGAGGTATCAGAATAATGGGGTATACATAGAAATATTAGGCCTCATGCAACAATATTTTCATGTTCTTGTTGTAATTTTTCTCCTGTCAGGGGCTTTTATGAATGAAACACGTTAGAGTCAACAAACGTTCTTAACTTCAGTAATTAATAGTGAATTATCCTTGTTAACCCGAGGCAGTCCACCCCTGCAGAAGTGAGCGTTCATTTCCGAGAAAAATGCAAATCTACATCATAGCCGCCCGAATTATTCCATATAAGGCAACAAATACCCACATGCAGGTGTTCATTCACAGATATGGCATTGAAGATTAGACTGTAGCACTTGTATAATTTTGTTCATACCTGAGAGATTAGAAATAGGAGAAAAATGGTGAATATGACATTTTCTCCTCAATTACTCAAACGAAAAATTTAAGAACGAATGTGTGTGTGTGTGTACCAATGGTTCTGGAATGACGCCCATTGACCACACTTTATGGGTTTTTATTCGAAACCAGTTTCAAACGTAATTTACTGCTACAATTTTTTAGGCCATCACATAAACACCTAGTTAAAGTTAATGTTTGTTATTTGGGACAAGTTCAAGCAGTAAAAAAACTTAAAATACAATAAAGGAGAGAAGTACACAAGGAAAATATGCATGTGAAATCTGAAACATATCAATTGCTGAGGAATAAAAATCTTAATTTACGCTAAATGATCACAGAGCTCTACTTAAACATCCAAGTAAAAGAGGAAGTTTGGTTTTTGAAAAAAAATTTTTTTTTTTAAACTGACAGGCCTCTGTCAGCACTCACGGTATGATCACAAGATAATGCGTTTTTGGACTTTAACACAGCATGCAAAGAGTAAAACCTGCATGCTAAGTACACACACGTGTGAAAGATAGGAGCAGAGTAGCTACAGACCACAAAACACAAGCACTATGCCACAAGTCAGCTAAGGTTTAAAAGTTTCCTGCCTGACATGAAAGCAGGGTTTTCATGTCGGAGCGCTCCTCTGTCTGTCGGACACAGAGCCCAACATAATACACTATATTGCCAAAAGTATTTGCTCACCTGCCTTGACTCACATATGAGCTTAAGTGACATCCCGTTCCTAATCCATAGGGTTCAATATGACGTCGGTCCACCCTTTGCAGCTAGAACAGCTTCAACTCTTCTGGGAAGGCTGTCCACAAGGTTTAGGAGTGTGTTTATGGGAATTTTTGACCATTCTTCCAGAAGCGCATTTGTGAGGTCGCACACTGATGTTGGACGAGAAGGCCTGGCTCTCAGTCTCCGCTCTAATTCATCCCAAAGGTGTTCTATCGGGTTGAGGTCAGGACTCTGTGCAGGCCAGTCAAGTTCATCCACACCAGACTCTGTCATCCATGTCTTTATGGACCTTGCTTTGTGCACTGGTGCACAGTCATGTTGGAAGAGGAAGGGGCCAGCTCCAAACTGTTCCCACAAAGTTGGGAGCATGGAATTGTCCAAAATGTCTTGGGATGCTGAAGCATTCAGAGTTCCTTTCACTGGAACTAAGGGGCCAAGCCCAGCTCCTGAAAAACAACCCCACACCATAATCCCCCCTCCACCAAACTTTACACTTGGCACAATGCAGTCAGACAAGTACCGTTCTCCTGGCAACCGCCAAACCCAGACCCGTCCATCAGATTGCCAGATGGAGAAGCGCGATTCGTCACTCCAGAGAACGCGTCTCCACTGCTCTAGAGTCCAGTGGCGGCGTGCTTTACACCACCGCATCCGACGCTTTGCATTGCACTTGGTGATGTATGGCTTGGATGCAGCTGCTCGACCATGGAAACCCATTCCATGAAGCTCTCTGCGCACTGTTCTTGAGCTAATCTGAAGGCCACATTAAGTTTGGAGGTCTGTAGTGATTGACTCTGCAGAAAGTTGGCGACCTCTTCGCACTATGCGCGTCAGCATCCGCTGACCCCGCTCCGTCAGTTTACGTGGCCTACCACTTCGTGGCTGAGTTGCTGTCGTTCCCAAACACTTCCATTTTCTTATAATACAGCTGACAGTTGACTGTGGAATATTTAGGAGCGAGGAAATTTCACGACTGGATTTGTTGCACAGGTGGCATCCTATCACAGTTCCACGCTGGAATTCACTGAGCTCCTGAGAGCGACCCATTCTTTCACAAATGTTTGTAAAAACAGTCTGCATGCCTAGGTGCTTGAATTTATACACCTGTGGCCATGGAAGTGATTGGAACACCTGATTCCAATAATTTGGATGGGTGAGCAAATACTTTTGGCAATATAGTGTAAATAGCACCCAAAAAAAATGCATCCATGCAAAAACAAACAAAAAAGCATCTAAATCAGTGTAGCACCCAAGTGTAAAGACACTCACTGTAATTTTAAAATGTTTGAGTGTGGGACGTTACAACAGTCCTTATAAAGCATACTTCCCTAAATTACTCGAGAGGCTGCCATGCTTGTGTACACACACAGTTCAGTCAGAGATCCTGTCTATGACCTGGGGTCTTCGGTGCACACTGACAAGCTGAAATCACCGGGTCTGCCCTGCTGGACTCTTTCTAAGAAGAGATCTCACTGTGCTTTTGACCGAACCAGGGGCCAATGAACAAGCCCCTCTAATGGCTCTGGGTTTACTAAAAAACAGCTCAACACGTCCCACATTTGATTTATTTGCCGACCCATACTGCAGCAGCTCGAGGTCAGAAATATCTTAACTCTGCAAATCTACGACAGACGTATGGAGAGACTGTTGTTCCTTTATTGTTGCAAGCAAAAAACCCACTTTGTAAATTGAAATTTGCTAAACTTTTTAAATAAATCTAAAAAAAATATTTTGAGACTAATTATCTTGTTTAAATAGATATTAATTATTTAAAATCTTTTTCTAATTTCAAACGTTTTTTCCAATTTCTTTTTTTCAGATTGAATTGTATACATTTTTTAAAAACTATTTTGCAGATCACTTTTATATCAGTTCTGGGGGCTGACTTTCCTTTATGGAGAAAAGTTGCATTTCTATTAGTCTCCTGGGTGCTAGAGACAATGGTTTTATTGTCAAATGCGAGTGTTTGAATTGGGCTTGAAGTGAGGAGAATGGGAACATAAACCACATGTTGAAAAAGGGGGGGAATAAAAAAAAAGAAAAAAAAAGAAAAAGTTTAAAAAAAAATGTTATAAGTAAATTAAGGAAAAGGTAAAAAAAAAATTATTTGAAAAAAGAATTAAATATGAGAAAACAGCAGTTGTTCTCAAACCTTTAATTAAGATAATTTCAAAACTAATTTCTGGATAATTTCTTCTACATTTCCATTTGCAAAACAGGTTATTTTCTCCCAACAATAACAGAACAAAATTTCCTCCATACAGCAGCGGCTGTTGTCCTGCTGCTGCTCACGTTAGGAAACACACACCCTTAAATTAATTTTTGCCAACACATCAGAGCCACACACAAAACAGAAAGACCTTTAAAGAAGAAGATTAATGAGAACAATGTCTGCAAACACACATTTGAGTCCTAATTATTTATTTAATCTATTCTTTTTTTCCTCTCAAAAAGGGTAAAACAAACCTCCAACCACTTATTCTTTTAAGAAAAAAAATAGAAACATATAGACGATTCATTTGGGAACAATCAGCCATAAAGTCACTAATATTTGATTAAACCAAATTTAGAAAGTTGCACCTCCACCACAGACTTTTCACCTCCTACTTTCAATAACTGTGAGGCATCATTCTCTCTGGAGCTCATTTAGATTTTTAAACACAGTCCACACATTGTTGTGACAGCTAGGCTGCTCTTCCACACGCATCTAAAACTAAAGCTTATAAGGTCAAAAATAAACAAATGTCTGTTTACAATCACTGTCTTATAAATAAGAAAAATTATGGTTAGAATGATCAGAAACAGTACAGGAAGCAACAAGGGTAAAATCTTAACCATGAACTGGAATTCACAGATTTGGTCCATTTTACTTTTTTTAAATTACAATTTCCACAACACTTTTTGTCTATATGGACAAAAAAAGAGAAAAAATAAACTTCTGGAAAAGTATTTATACTGATCGAAGAGATTTGAACGATTTTATCAACAAGCAGAACTAAGATTTTATTTCAACTAAAATTGTGATTTTATTTCTATTGTCATTTCTGCACCATAAACCATCCTGTGGATGTTTCACTCCAGGGTTTCATCTTTTTCATGAGCTTAAAGTCACCCTTGTCCAGAGTCCATTATCTAAGGACTTTACAGCTACAGTTGGATGGAAAAGTGCTTACTTATAAATGCATGCATGGATCTGCATCCTTGCTGCAACTTTCTTCCCTTCAGTGTATTTACTGTAAGATGTAAACTGCCACCTAAAGGGCTGGAGCATGTTGACTAAAACTTTGTGTTTTGGACCTGTTAAATGTAACTTGAACGTTAATTTGCAATTTGAAAGTTGTGTTTTTTTGGATTACAAAAAATGCTCAACAATTCAGACTTCTGTATCTGGTTCTTGTTTTTTAAAGCATATTAAAGCAAAAAAAAAGCAAAAAGAGAAAGATGCGTCATACCTCTGTTGATGATATAAACTAAAATCCATATCAGACTCTGCCTGCAAGACAAGAATAACAGGAAGTAATTATCAAAACATCAGACATGTGATTATTTAGCAAGCAGCTCTGCAACTATGAAGTAAGAAAGACAAGTTCATTGCTCTAAATTAGGTCTGTACGTCATTGATAAAAAGGCACTTTTATACAACATAAAGCATCTGATGCCACCAAATATAAGGAAGGGAAATATAGCCTGGATGAGTGTTACTCAACTGCTGAGCTAATTCACGTTTGTTGTGTCAGCAGTTCGCCATCTTTTGTCGTTTTTATGGGGATAATTTCCATTATAATTTGCAGCCCTACTTTATAATGACATTAAAGTTCAGATAGAAAGGAAAAACAAAGAGGAAAATAAAACACCTCACCTGTAAAAGGCTTCCCTCACCAAAATGTAGGACCTCTAGAATTGTGTCTGACTGAATGAAAGCTGCAAAAACAACATAAAAAGCCCGATTAGCTTAGAAAACAAACTTGACTTTTCATTTTATTTTATTTTTACATTTTACAATTAGAAAAACTAATAAAAACACAAATCAAGTGAAATAACGTGACAGAATAAAAATCACAAAAAACAAGGTGGCATTTGCATCCCACTGGTTGTGCTGCAACAGCCGACTTGACACTTATTTGCATCGCAAAGCAACCAACATAGAAATAGAAGAAGCAGACGCTGCTTTTCCATCCACCTTTACATTGAGCTTCAATTCCCCATTAAAGCAGAATTAGCGATAAGTAAAAGTAGATTTTCTGAAGTGATTCTTTTTTGCCTAACTTGCACCATCTCCATCTCCTACTAGGTACATAATTCCCTGTAAAGGTAACTTAAAGCACTATCAAAGAGAGGAGAACAGCATCTGTTCACAGAGAGCCTTTGGCTGTAGCTGCAGGCTTTTAAACTGAAGGCAGCCCCCCCCCTGAACGATGTGCCTACGCTGCGTGTCTATTTCTGGATGTTATAAGGTGTCGGGTTGTGAAAAAGGTAGTAAAACCTTTACAATCACACATTTATCATTAGAGCTATAGAGAAGCAGAACTATCTTATGTCGAATACCAAACGACTCCCTTGAATTATGAGGCAACAAGTTTGCAGAGCTTTAAACTTCAATCTGCATGTCACTTATAAATCTGCTTATTAGTCCGATTAGATTTCCATGTGTGCTTTCTAGTTGTAGTTCAAACTTTTGCTTACATGTTTATGTCCATATAAAGTGAAACAAACAGTAAATATCTTCAAAAGCATAATTTTTGATAAAAAAATTAAGAAAAACTCAAAAACCCAAGAACATCTAAAAACGTTACATTGTGTTTTACTTCTTAACAGTAAAAGGCTACAGTTTAGACGATGTCATCAGTCTTAGGACTTGATGTAGCATCACCAACTGTGCAAACAGCTCAACAACAGTTTGTACAGCATTTTTTTTTTAAACTGCAGAAAACAAAAAGCAATCACTGAACTTTAGCTTGAGTATTTTCTTTTCTCTAAATGAATTCTGCGTTAATATCTTTTAACTGCGATATTTTTAGTCGAGTTTATCATAGAGTGAGAACCGGATACTGGCCTATGACAAGTGTGAATTCATTTGGCTTAAACTCTAAGGCCACAAGAAGTTGACAAAACCTGGAGAGAGCAAATAAAACACAACCTTTGGTAAAAACCAGACAATTCACACCAAATCAATAATAAATACAAAGAAGCGTTGACCAATATTTGACAGCTGTGGGTCGGATGCGTGTTTGTTGGCAAGTCAGATCAGCTTTATTTTAAAACCCTACGTCACGTCAATGGACAGCAGGTGTGAATCATATAGACAGTTTAACCAGCGAGGTGAGCCAGGTTATGATTCCCATTAAAAACACTCGAGTAAGAATCTCCAAACTGCTTGTTTTTGAACACAAAAACATTGTGATTTGTGTTGCAAAATCAGTTTATATGTAGTTTTAAAGGTATATCCTGTTAAACCTATTAAGATTACAATGAGTTTTGAGAGTAAAATCTAGATATAGACATTGATTCTTATCCTGGTGAAATAAAGAAAAACAATATCTGCAGGTTTTCAACCCCTTGAAGCCTAAATTGATATATATGTACATATAAAAAGACATTTTGTGCCTGTTTTTCCCATTCAATGAGATGCCAAATTTAAACAGTTAATGTTACTAAATAAACAGAAATAAAGTTGAAATATATTTTGTAACAGCAGTTTTAACTACATAACAACATACACTGTGACTAGCACTGGGGTGATGCAAAAACTCTATGGCGGCTGTTTGCCTACACTGCAAAAATGGTGTATTATTGGTGTATTAATAAGCGCATTTACCCTAAATATGACTAGGAAAATAAGATGATCTGCCAATGGAATGAGAATTTTTACCCTTAAAATAAGATTATTAGATATTATGCACTTGAAATAAGAGACTACAGTTCTTTATTTCTTATTTTAAATGTGAATTGTCTTATTCCATTGGCAAAGTGTCTCATTTATCTTCTCAATTCAAGACAAAATGCTCTTATTTTAAGAAAAACTGACTTACTTAGATTCAGAGGTGTCAAGTAAAGAAGTAAAAATAGTTCTCGACTGTACTTCAGTATACTTTTAAGGTATCTATACTTTACTCCATTACTTATTTTTCTTCCTACTTCTGACTTCTACTCATTACATTTTCACACAAGTATCTATAATTTCTATTCCTTATATTTTTTAAACAAATGTTACTCTTGGCATCGTTTTAATGTTTACAAATATTTATTTCAGGTCATGTGCTCCATCCAATGCAATCATTGGCTCCATCCATATCTAGTGAAAACTAGTGTAAATGGATGAGTCATATAACGCAAACACTCATTGGTTAGCTAAAGGAAATCATCAGAAGCAAGCAGGTGTTTTTCAAACTGCAAACGTGAATTATCTATACCATGCTACAATGTTGGATGCAGAAAAAGATGTTGAAATGTCTGAAAGGTCGGACACAGGCGAGAGCGTATCGGGAGATGGAGACCAACCAGACCTCCCTCATCCTTGGCCCCATCTCCAAGAATTTTTCCAAATAGTTTTAAAATTAGGCTTTCAATTTTCAATTCATATAGTGGCAAACTTTATACTTTTATACTTTAAGTAGTTTTGGAGCACATACTTTTTCACTTTTACTTGAGTAAAGAGGCGAAGTTAATACTTTTACCAGAGTGTTTTTAAACTGCAGTATCTATACTTCTACTTAAGTAACAAATGTGTGCACTTCTAACACCACTGATTCTTAGCCTGGTGAAATAAAGGGGAAAAAAACAATAAACAATATCTGCAGGTTTTTTATCCTTCCTGTATCCAAACTTTAAATGTAGAGAGAAATAAAAATGTAGTTTCAGATTAACTATCTTTTACTGTAGTTTAAACTCAAGATGTCCATTTTTTTTTTCTGTTGAAGCAAAGATCAACATCCTTAAATCATCTTTTTGGCACCGGGTGGCACGGTTAATTCATTTTCATTGCAAATCCTGGTGCTTTCATTGCTCCAGAGCACCACAGTTTGAACATAATGGATTTAAGCTGTCAGAGTGGCAACCCTGCAAGACCTAGAAGCCAGGGGACACAGCTCTTGTTGGCAGTGGATGTCACCTCTACCTGACATGATCGGAGGGTATGACAGCAGCTAGCCGCAAAAACAAAAACAAGCGGGCTGTCATTTATCCTGTGAGCTGAGCCAGTCTGGACCCATGAGGGTTAAGAATCAAAAGGAAAAGCCACGTTTACAAACTAAAACTGACTGACTCACCTCGGGCACGAGTCCGGTATGAGGAAGTCACCCTCCTGCCGTTAGAGCCCATTTCTGCCAACCTGACACATCTCCATTACAATGCTTTCAGATCATACAGTGACAGCTTTTAGCTAAAAGTAGTGTTAGCCGTGGTGCTAACTGGAACCTCTTCATACTTCCCTAAGATGTAGTTAGCTTAACTTAGCCTTATATGGAAGGAATGACAACAAGCAGTAATGAAGCGATAGGAGCTGTTAAAGGCCACTTACAAACAGTTAGCGACCTATCGGTTCTTTAATTCTCCGCTATATTAACAAACAATACGATATAAAATAAAAGCTAACTCATGTGAACAAAAGAAAGACATAATTCTGTGTATAATGAGGCTAGCTGTGTAGTTGGGCAGCGAAGGTAAGGCTAACCTTTACCCACACCTCACTGAGAATGCCTACGGAAGTTAGCGCCTACTAATAGCCAGCTAAGTTACAAACCTTGTTTGTCTGCCCGCGCTGCGTGGATAAAAGCAATAAATAATATCCTGAAGACCCCGACACGCGCTGTTGTTCTTGTGTGAGAGCTGTGGGCTCTCTCTGGGCTCGCCATGCTGCTGGGCTCTCTGTTGTTACGATAACAACCGAGCGAGTGTGCCGACATGCCCGTGTAAAGCTCTGCTGCCTCTGTCAATCATAGCACTGAGAGGAAAAAACTGCCACTCCACTGAGCAGCCAAGGCTAACCACTCAGGACGGTGGCCTCTTCTTCTTCTTCTCTTTTTTTCCCCTCCTCCTCCTCTTCCGCCTCACGTCGCGTCACCGGTTGCTACGAGCGGCTACAAGCATTCCCCTTCTAGATTTCCTAAACTTAAACATCAACTCTTCAGCTAAGAAAGTCATGCTTTTTCTTATGAGGAATTAATGGCCAAATATAGCTTTCATTTTTATGTACATGTCAACCTCTGTTTTACAACATAGGGACTACTAGAGCAGCAGGGGCGGATCTATATTAAATGGACATGGGGGGCCAAGGCCAGTGGAAGGGATTAAAGAAAAAAAAAAAACTTTTTCAACACAGGCAAGAAACTCTCTCTCTCTCTCTCTATATATATATATATATATATATATATATATATATATATATATATATATATATATATATATATATATATATATATATATATATATATATATATATATATATATATATATATATCAGTGGCGGCCGGCCCATAGGGGGCGCTGGGGCACCGCCCCCCCTGATAAGAAGAGAGAAATGTAAAATATATTTTTAGAAATTAACTCATAAATGTCAGTTTTACTCTCTAGACTGTGTACCTATAAGCAAAACAAATAATATAAACTACATTTCCCTATCTACTGTCATTAATTTGTGGATTTCCACAGACAGACTCCTACCGTCTCTGTTCTGGGGGCTGTGATCAGACTGACCCACATTTGCAGAGAATCTGTCAATCATGTATTATTGCTAGGTGAATTTAATGGCCAATCAGCGTCTCGGAACTTTATGGTCTTGGGGCGCTGAAAATACTGCGCTTTAACAGGCTTCTGAACCCAAGCGCAGGTGCAGACAATTAGAGGGAAGATGGCGAATGTAACGACCGAGATGCAGCTTCCACCAAATTCGGTGAGATCCTTATTTATCTACCCGTTTGCCAGAAGAACATCCCTGTTGTAGGATATGAACATTTCATGTCATGGTTATTGTGACTGTGACGAATCCACCTCGTCGCTTAAAACAACCTCTCTAACTTTGCGCGCCACACACACATTCCTGTTATACTGTGCTTGTGAGGACCAATACACTCGCGCTGAGACCAGTAGCTCCATGAACTTAAAACACACAAGCTGTTCCTGGTTACCTGCTGGCGTATTGAGGGTGCACACTTAATATTTCAGTGGGGTTAGCCGTGTGTGTGTGTGTGTGGGGGGGGGGGGGGTGTGTACGTGTTTATGCTATGGGGACTTGTCATCTTCAGTCTGGCTGCGTCTTTGCTGGGTTCAAACCCAGTTTGGTGTAATTGAATAAGTCAATGAATCTGTGTAAAAGAATTAAGTTGTAAAAATTATTTGTTTTTGTACATCAATTGTTTGTGGAGGTAATATATGGACAAAACTGATTAATGAGAAGAAATCAGACATAAGAGAGCCTGAGGTGAGGGGCTTAAACTATTTAATGAGGGCTGTGGGAAGAAAAGCGGCAATTTTTGTTTTCTGTTTCTTTGTTACATTGCTGGTAACTGGAGGGAGGCTGAGGCCCAGAGGATCTTGTATATGTTTAGTTTCTTTTGCACCCTGTTTTGAGTTTTTGAGCACAATAAATCACCAACACCCGTAACCCGAATGAGCCTGGATTCTTGGAGGCCAAAGAACCCCGTCACAGTGACCCAAATCATCACTGTTAGTTATTATATAGAAAATTAAATCATTACTGTTAAATTGTATGTATTGTCCAATTGTTTATTTGAATTCTTATTCCGGATTAGATGGAGACATACACTAGGCTATATCAGCCCCACCAAAAATATTTTTCACCAGCCGCCACTGATATATATATATATATATATATTTGTACCACAGACAAATATATACATATATATATTTGTCTGTGGTACATTCCGTGCAGCAGCTTGTCCCTATATATATATATATATATTCATTCATTCATATATATATATATATATATACATATATATATATATATGTATATATATATAAATATATATATGAATGAATGAATATATATATATATATATATGTTAGGGATGGAACGGTTTATGAAAACCGTCCAAACCGTTCGGTTCGGTTCGCGTGTGTTGCGTTCGGTTCATGCGCTGCTCCTTTTTCTCATAGGCAAAACGTTTACACTCCAGAGCAGAAGGTGGCGGTACTGCGACCAAAGCCAACCACCAGTAGTAAACAAGAAGAAGAAGCGAAGCAGCGTAGCCGGGTGTAGCAGAAAAAAATTTGTTGTCGTGGAGAATTGTGTGGGTATGGCGAGTGGGAAAGAACAGGAGATGGAAGACGCGCCAGCAGCACTTTATAGGTCTGCTGTATGGGAGCGCTTTGCATTTAGAGTGACCTAAGATGACGGCGGAAAGAAAGTGGTGGATAAAAGTGCAACAGTGTGCAAGCATTGTGCAACACGTTTTGTTTATGCTAACGGCAACACGACCAACATGTCAGGCTAACCCCGAAATCCCACATACTCCATCAGCGCTCCGCTGCGCTCCAGACCGGCTGCACAAAGCAAAGCCTACAGCCTCCTCTGTGGCTCCCGTCCGCTCCGCTCTGAGTTCCTTGGAGACCATAGAGGGCATGGCGAGATGATTAAATTCAAAGCAGCAAATGATCCAGGGTTTCCGCGGATCATTAAAAATAATTACAATTCATTATTTTTTTTTTGATATTTTCATTAATTTCATACATTTTTATTTTTTCATAAATTTTTATGATTTTTTAATTTTTTTTATTTTTCGGTGTATCGAACCGAACTGCACCGAAAACCGTGACCATGAAACCGTGAACCGAACCAAACCGTGGATTTTGTGAACCGTTCCACCCCTAATATACACTATATTGCCAAAAGTATTTGCTCACCCATCCAAATTATTGGAATCAGGTGTTCCAATCACTTCCATGGCCACAGGTGTATAAATTCAAGCACCTAGGCATGCAGACTGTTTTTACAAACATTTGTGAAAGAATGGGTCGCTCTCAGGAGCTCAGTGAATTCCAGCGTGGAACTGTGATAGGATGCCACCTGTGCAACAAATCCAGTCGTGAAATTTCCTCGCTCCTAAATATTCCACAGTCAACTGTCAGCTGTATTATAAGAAAATGGAAGTGTTTGGGAACGACAGCAACTCAGCCACGAAGTGGTAGGCCACGTAAACTGACGGAGCGGGGTCAGCGGATACTGACGCGCATAGTGCGAAGAGGTCGCCAACTTTCTGCAGAGTCAATCACTACAGACCTCCAAACTTCATGTGGCCTTCAGATTAGCTCAAGAACAGTGCGCAGAGAGCTTCATGGAATGGGTTTCCATGGTCGAGCAGCTGCATCCAAGCCATACATCACCAAGTGCAATGCAAAGCGTCGGATGCGGTGGTGTAAAGCACGCCGCCACTGGACTCTAGAGCAGTGGAGACGCGTTCTCTGGAGTGACGAATCGCGCTTCTCCATCTGGCAATCTGATGGACGGGTCTGGGTTTGGCGGTTGCCAGGAGAACGGTACTTGTCTGACTGCATTGTGCCAAGTGTAAAGTTTGGTGGAGGGGGGATTATGGTGTGGGGTTGTTTTTCAGGAGCTGGGCTTGGCCCCTTAGTTCCAGTGAAAGGAACTCTGAATGCTTCAGCATACCAAGACATTTTGGACAATTCCATGCTCCCAACTTTGTGGGAACAGTTTGGAGCTGGCCCCTTCCTCTTCCAACATGACTGTGCACCAGTGCACAAAGCAAGGTCCATAAAGACATGGATGACAGAGTCTGGTGTGGATGAACTTGACTGGCCTGCACAGAGTCCTGACCTCAACCCGATAGAACACCTTTGGGATGAATTAGAGCGGAGACTGAGAGCCAGGCCTTCTCGTCCAACATCAGTGTGCGACCTCACAAATGCGCTTCTGGAAGAATGGTCAAAAATTCCCATAAACACACTCCTAAACCTTGTGGACAGCCTTCCCAGAAGAGTTGAAGCTGTTCTAGCTGCAAAGGGTGGACCGACGTCATATTGAACCCTATGGATTAGGAACGGGATGTCACTTAAGCTCATATGTGAGTCAAGGCAGGTGAGCAAATACTTTTGGCAATATAGTGTATGTATATATATATTCATTCATTCATTTTCTGTTACCCTTATCCCAAGTGGGGTCGCAAGGGGTGCTGGTGCCTATCTCCAGCTATCTACGTGTGTACACCCTGGACAGTTCGCCAGTCCATCGCAGGGCAACACAGAGATGCACAGGACAAACAACCATTAACATACGCACTCACACCTAATATACAGTCGTATGTTTACGTACATTATTACTGCTGCTTACCTTTATCATGTCTGCACTTATATAAAAAAATGAAAATGACTTGAGAGAATGAAATTTCAAAATGATAATACAAATTTTATACATAAAAGGAATGCAAAAAGTCTTAAGAAGAAAAAAGGACCCATAATCCATTGTGCCATTGCCACTGTGAAACATGGTGCTGGCAGCATCATTCTTTCATTCATTGTCTTTCCTCTGTGGATTTCTTCATTCTTCTTTCCTCGTTTCATATGCTCCTCTCTTCTGATGGCCTAAACAGGAATTTCTAATAAAACAGATATGAAAAAACAGAACCTGTTCAATGGGTTTTAACACTCTTATTTTGTCAGAAACTGTGTGAGTAATTATTATTTTACACTGCATTTAGAAATCTGCCTTTGCTCCAAACAAAATGATAAAACTGCAACAGTAATAAGTGTATAGCTTTGGGCTAGTTATCCAGAGATTAGCTTCAGTACTGAAAGTGAAAATCTAATATATGAACGTAGAAGTCGGTATTTTGGCATTTGAAAAATAAATCCAAAGTGAGGATCAACGTTTGGGAAGGAGAAATAAAACAAATAAATCTCAGCATAACTTGAGATCAGATGAAATCATGAAGTCCCAAACACATCCTGCAGATTTGTTCTTCGTGTTTTTCACCTTTATAATCTCAAAATTTTGCATTTTAGCTTGAGGTGCAAGTGATTATGATGTCTCTCCT